GCCTGTAGACACGATCTATTTGTTTAGCACAGTGTTTTAGGAAATTACAGTTATCAGGAGATTATACATATAAATACAGATTTCTACCTTCTTTTTAAAAATGAGAAGTTCTGCCCACAGTGAACCTGAATTCCCATATGGCCACCCTGGACTAGAACTGAGCAGGAGCTGCCATTTGAGCCTGCAGAGCCAGCTGATTTTCCAGATGTGCCTGGGGCCCATCAGGTTTGCTTCCCTCAAATGTGTCATCACTGCAGTTGTTTGCAGCCCCTGCTCCCCAAGAGACACCCTGGCTTCTCCCCCTGCATTGTGATGATCGTTTGCCTTTGTGCTCTAACATTTTAAAATCCAGCAGCAGTAGTGTCCCAGCTGCAAGTATGAATGCTAGTCTCACTTGTCCAAATGGTGATGGGAGGGGGAGATGAGACTTGGGTACAGCCAAAGTTGGCCATGCCAGGGCTGTAGTATCTGTCATCTAGAGTCATGTAATGTGTTTGTGTAATTTTTTTAAAGTTAAATGTGACCCAAGGCTTATATACCCTTCAAGTTCAAGACTGTTCATTTATACCCTTTTGTATTTATTGGAAAACTATGGACACTGTCTTGAGAATAAGGAGAATGACCTGAACTTGGCATTTCCACAGGGCCAAGCACAAAGGAGGTATTCACTAAATATTTGTCCAAATGCATTATTCAACTGTATTCTCTTTGTCAGAGAAGTCTCTGCAAATGAGTCTTTGCAAAGATTTCAAAATCAAAATAAGAGGTTAACGGTCAGGATGAATCAGTTTTTATTTTTATTCATAGATGACTTCTGACATTTCCAAGCTGTTTCCCAGAGTGGATCCCAAGTTTACAGCTTGTGATACCAAAGCATCAGACACACTTTAAAGTTGCGTACTAGGAAAAAATAGTCTGCATTTTGAATTCATCAAAATGTAGTATATATCTTGTTGCTCTCTTTGGGAGGCCACTAAATATATCCCACCCACCCCAGTGATTAAATATTTTTTTCCTTATATATCCCAGTCCAGTGATGAAATATTTTCTTCCCTATCTGTCCTAGTCCTGTGCCTTCATAATTTTAGTAGCAGTGTAGCACAGATGTTGAAAACATAGATTTAGAGTCAGATTTTGTGGTATCAGATCCTGGTTCTGCCTCTCATTTGTTAAGTCACCTCCACATCAGTTTCTTCACCTGTAGAATGAAGAAGATAATGCTATTTTTCTTGAAATACTATCATAAGGAAATAAATAATACATATAAATAATACAATTAAATCTTTATAAGTCTCTTAGAACATATCTGATACAGTGAATGCTTGCTATCATTATGTCTAAGAACATTTCATATTTCTACTGCCTGTTTCCGTATGGCCTATGAGCTAAGAATGGTTTTTACAGTTTTAGGTTGTTACAAAAAATGAAAAGAAGAGTAATATTTTGTGACATGTGGAAATTATAGTGTCTACAAATAAAGCTTTATTAGAAGATAGTCATTCCAATTGGTGTATTTGTTTATGTATTGTCTATGGCTGCTTTCATTTTACAGCAAAAGGTAGTTAATTGTTTTTGAATGATGTATATTCCTGCAGATCATCATATGACACATTAATGAAACCTCAGACTTGTGAGATCTTTCTCTGTGAATTGACACTACCATGCTCTCACGTTCAGGGCCTGCTTTGCCCTCCTGCCTGAGATGAAGAAGTGCTTATTTGTTGTCTCAGTCCTTTTAGATACTGTTGATATTTTATTACACTTTTCTGCCAATAGAAAACACTAAAGTTATGCTTGTGATATAGTCACATCAACCATTTAATGAACATCTGTCATCTTAGTTTTTAACAGGTAAACAAATAGATGCAGAAAGGCCAAGTAACTTGCCCAAAATTCTATGACCAATAAGAGGCCTCTTGTTTACAGATGAGGTCATTGATGGATATCCATAATTATTTATAATATGAATAAATATTTATATTTCCTTTATATAATGCTGGTTTTTTTGTTGTTTGTTTTTTTGAAATACAGTCTTGCTGGGTTGCCTAGGTTGTAGTGCAGTGGCATGATCTCAGCTCACTGCAGTCTCTGTCTCCTGGGTTCAAGCAATTTTCCTGCCTCAGTCTCTCAAGTAGCTGGGATTACAGGTGTGCACCACCACGCCCAGCCAGTTTTTGTATTTTTAGTAGAGATGGTGTTTTGCCATGTTGGCCAGGCTGGTCTCAAATTCCTGCTCAAGTGATCCTCCAGCCTCGGCCTCCCAAAGTGCTAGGATTACAGGCATGAGCCACCGCGCCCAACCAGTTGTTTTGTATTATATTATTTTTTGGGAAGTGGAGAGTGGATTTGAGAAAGGTTACAGGATGCCCAGGTGTTATATTAGTTGCCCTTGCCATCATCAGTATTTTCTAAGATCCTTTCTATGCCTATATACCCCCATTTGTTTCTCCCATGTGCTTTACCTGTATGATATATTTTTGCTATGCCTAAGACCTGAAAGTGAATTTGGTTATTTGTTGGCTATTTTGCAGAACTGTACTTCTAGTTGGGTGGGGGAGGGGGATTAGAGGTAGGCAGGTGATGAAGGCCACTGCTGCCCATTGCTTTTACTGACAGTGGGTAGCAAGTCCTCACGGGACTTTCCCCTCAGGGAGACATTACCCCTTGCCTGGCTTCCTGGAGTTCTGCCTCTGGAAAGTGGTTCCTGCATCTTGTACATCTCTGTGTTATTTTGATTGATGGAAAAAATCTCTTTGACCCTGAATCCATTGCTATCTGTGAAAAAGGCAGCTGGGAATAGAAAAGCAGCTTTGTTTCAGATATAAATAAGTAACAGTGTATTCTTTACTGATTCTGTGGTGAAAACTTTACTGCACTTTGCCTCATCTGGAGTATATGAACAATGAAGAAGGCACATACTAAAAATGATGAGTTGACGATACCTAATACTTATTTAAAAACAGATAAAGGGAGGGAGGGGAGCAATGGTTGAAAAACTATCTCCTGGGTACTATGTTCACTACTTGGGCAGTGGGATCATTCGAGACCCAAACCTCAGCATCCCACAACATACCAATGTAACAAACCTGCATATGAACTCCCTGAATCTAAATTTTTTAAAAGATAAGTAAATTATGCCTTGTAAAAAACTAAATCAAGTCTAGTTCAAGGGTCAATTCCTGTCTGAAGCCTTTGCCCACTACCTGGCTTGCAGTGCTCTTGGGGCCTCTCTCTCCTCTGTGCTCCTATAGCACTGGCACACTTCTCTGTTCCAGACCTTACACATCGCACTGTAATTATTATTCTCTAAAACAGAGTATCTCTTCCACCGAATGGTAAGCTGTTGAGTGTGCAGAAATGTGGAATCTTTATTCATCTTTGCAATTCAGGTCTCTTCAGGCATGCATGCGCATACCACGTGCGCGCGCGCACACACACACGATAAAAACAGATAAGGAATCACGAGGGGAGGAAGGAAGGAGTAATGCCAAATTTTAGGAAACTTCAGAATGGCTCCTTCTTCCCCCTCCTCCATTTCAAACTCAGGGTAAAGTTTTGCTTCATTATAAATGATACATATTTATTTTTTAAAGTGAGAAATGAAGAAGATAAAGGAAGTATTCATTAAAAAATATCTATTATTGACAGGAAGTGAAACTGTTAATCTCTGTGGAGATTTTATTATACAAGGCAGTAATTTGATACAAGATAATGCAACATTTATTAAATATTAAATTGTACTCTATAGTTTTCAGTGCATTTTCTTATAATGTTATATTATTTGATCTTTACAGTGACTTTCGATTTAAAAGTTTAGGTAGCTGAGCCAGGTTCACCAGGTACTTAATGGTCAAACTGGACTTAAAGCCGAGGCTTCCTGATTTTCTATGTGGTGATCGCCCCATTGCACAATAACCCATTGTGTCACAGACAGGCAAGGATCTACCAAACTTACAGCGAATGGAGTGGACTTTTCTGGCATCAGACACTAGAGCAGGATTATCTGTGGGAGTTGAGGCTATTTATCAGGGACAAGAGTTTAGGAATTCTATAAGCTTCAGCCGACAAAATCTTGGAGTGGTACTAGTTTTAAGCACAAAAAGTATTTAATTGTTAAGCCCAAAGTGCCTGAAGTGTTAAGAAATTAATAACCAGAAATACAGACTGAACACCTCAGCCCTGAAATTGATGACCAAATCACGTGCTCCCATAATGGAAATGCTGGAAGACATTGTCACACTGTGATGTGAAATGCAGTGATGAAGTGACAATCCTCATGCTTTTTGTTGGCCTCTGCACCCGGATGTTGTAGGCTCGTTTACATTTTTAATGCATCTCCTTATCATTGCTTTCTCAGGAACATATATCATACTGAAGGTCTATTATTTTGTTATCGTTCATTGTTCTTTCTAACACTTTACTGTATATTTGTGTGAAATTATGTCCAGACTTTGTAGATTTTTTTTTTTTTTGAGATAGAGTCTTGCTATGTTGCCCAGGCTGGAGTGCAGTGGTGTGATCTTGGCTCACTGCAACCTTCACCTCCCGGGTTCAAGCAATTCTCCTGCCTCAGCCTCCCAAGTAGTTGGGATTACAGGTGCCTACCACCACTCCCAGCTAATTTTTATATTTTTGCTAGAGATGAGGTTTCACCATGTTGGCCAGGCTGGTCTTAAACTCCTGAGCTCGCCTTGGCCTCCCAAGTGCTGAAATTACAGGCATGAACCACGATGCCCGAAGGCCTATCAATGTTAACAGCAGCTTGATTTGCTTTCTTTATAAGGAAAAGTGTAATTTATTTCAGCTTAAAATATTCTTTATGGGATTTGAAAATTTCTGTATTTGTACTTGCTTTCTATGAAAGACAAATTTGGATAGTCTGCAGATCATCCACAGCATTTTAATTGAGCAAAAAATGAAGCCACTCATTTATTTGCAGGTATATGTGGAGTTTCTGCTGTTGGCATACCCCATACTTTATTTGTGTTTTTCTTTTACAGAGTGGGAAACCACCAATCAATGATATGTTCACAGACCTCAAAGATGGAAGGAAGCTATTGGATCTTCTAGAAGGCCTCACAGGAACATCACTGGTGAGCAAGTCCTCTTTGTAAACAATGGAGTCTCCAGTCATTACTGATACTTGATGACCCACTGTGGGTACCCATTAAAGTGAAAGTATCCATTTTACTTTACATTCAAATGTAAAGGCTGAAATTGGGAACATTTTTAATGAAGTGTTTTAATGAGTGCTTTGATGCAACAACATTTTGGTTCTTCTGAGGGCTCTGTTTTTATTGAAGATAAAATTACCTTAACTGTTTATTGCTCTGATACAGCCCAGGATGAGAGAAATTACAAAAAAGAATGGATTTATAGAGAGGGCAGAATGTTTTGAACAGCAGAGTCTGGAGACAAACACATTGAAATTTTAAATATTTTTTAAAATAATTGTTCAGGCTGGGCACAGTAGCTCACGCCTGTAATCCTAGCACTTTGGGAGGCCAAGGCGGGTGGATTGCCTGAGCTCAGCAGTTCGAGACCAGCCTGGGCAGCGCAGTGAAGCCCCGTCTCTACTAAAATACAAAAAATTAGCTGGGCGTGGCGGCATGCACCTGTAATTCCAGGTATTCGGGAGACTGAGGCCTGGAGAATTGCTTGAACCTGGGAGGCGGAGCTTGCAGTGAGCCGAGATTGTGTCACTGCATTCCAGCCCGGGCAACAGAGCGAGGCTCCGTCTCTAAAAAAACACAAAAAGTTGTCAAAAACAATGACATCCATTTTTTATTCAGATTTTCAAGATTGTATTTTGTTTATTTATTTTTTAAATACACCTCTATTATTTTATGTGGAGGATACTCCATAGTCATGCAGAAAAAACTGCCAATGAAGAGGATGCATTTATGGGTACAAATGTTAACTCTAGAGGTAGAGGTACTATCACAGGACAGACATGCACTCCTGAAGATGAATTTCTTTCTTGCAGAAGTGTGGGGTGTCATTCTCTCCCTTTGCCCTCCAGGTGGTGGGTAGATAACTGTTAGACAGGCTGATCCCTCTCTCAGATAAGGTTCCCAGGCCAGTGAAGTAGAAAGAAGCTGCATAGGTTATCTTTCCCCGGGTGTGGATTCCCTGCCTTCCGAGGGCTCTTGTAATGCTACCTGGAGCCTGGGGATGGTGCCTCTGAATCCTCCTTGCTCTGTTCACATCTGTGCAGAATAAAGAGGCCACAGCTTCTCTAAAATCCTTCTGCAGCCATACCAATTGAGAGACAGGAAGCTTTGTTCATAGAGCACTGTTTTCCAAACTTGTCTGCCCATTAGAACTATAGGCAATCTTTTAAAAATCCCAAGTCCAGACCACACCCTAGACCCATTAAGCCACACTCTTTGGGGGTGGGGTTGGACTGAGGGATTGGTGTTTTTATGAAGCTGCCTAGGACATTTCATTGTGCTTGCAAGTTAGGGAACTGCTATCTTAAGATGTTGTTAGTTGAGAGATTTACATACTGTGAACACCAGCTTCCAGGGTGGTAACCTGAGACTTCAGCCAGAGCTCCTGCCTCTGAGGGGCCCTGCACCTTGAGCTGCTCTTCTGTGTATATCTCAATGTTAGTGTTTGTCAGACATATGGAGGGACAATCAGTTTTACTTGCTTTTGTGTTTTATTTTCCAGCCAAAGGAACGTGGTTCCACAAGGGTACATGCCTTAAATAACGTCAACAGAGTGCTGCAGGTTTTACATCAGAACAATGTAAGCTTGTAATGTGAGTTTTGGGGGTTTGTGCTGCCATCAGCATTATTTATTGTGAAACTCGCCAACTGCTTGATGCATTGGCATCCACTGATTCTTGTAAACATTTTTTATTATGAGAAATATTGAACTTTTTCTATGAGTGAAGAAACAGTCATGTGCTTTTTCTGATGGCTATGTTGATCTGTGGTATAAATAATACATTTTTGAGATTTAGGTTCACCTGATTCTCTAAAATGAAATTTCTCTTATCTCTCACTTATACTGCTGTCCAAATGTGCTAAAATGAAAACCTGGAGTTCTGTGAATAAATTGTCTTAAAAGTGTTTTTTTGTTTTGTTTTGTTTTTTGTTTTTTTTTTTCTTAATAGGTGGAATTAGTGAATATAGGGGGAACTGACATTGTGGATGGAAATCACAAACTGACTTTGGGTTTACTTTGGAGCATCATTTTGCACTGGCAGGTGGGGAAATTTCCAATCACTTTTTAATAGAGATGGAAAATGTATTGTTTGTCTTTTGGTTTCTTAGGGCTGCCATAACCAAGTACCACAAGCTGCTTGGTTTGAACAACAGAAATTTGTTGTCTCCCAGTTCTGGAGGCTGGAAGTCCAAAATCAAGGCATCAGCAGGGTTGTTTTTTCCTGAGGTCTCTGAGGGAGACTCTGATCCATGCCTTGCCCCCAAATTCTGGTGGTTTGTCTGCAATCTTTGCAGTTCCTTGGCCTGTGATAAGATAGCTCCAGTGTTGCCGTGGTGTTCTCCCTGTGTGCATATCTGTGTCAAATTTCCTCTTTTTGTAAAGACATCAGTCATATTGGATTTAGGGCCCACCTTACTCCTGTGTGACCTCATTCTTACTAGTGACATCTGCAATTACCTTATTTCCAAATAGAACCCCTCTCTGAAGTACTCAACATATTAATTTTAGAGAACATAATTCCACTCATAACAATTTTCAATGGAAGAGGCTGACAAAATGCCCTATTTTTGTGGTCTAGGAAAAAAAGTACGCACCTTTCTTACGTTAAATTTTAAAAATTGACATAATTTCATGTCCAGAAAAGTTGCAGGAATAGTTCAAAGAATTCCCAAGTACCTTTCACTCACATTTCCTAAATGTTACCAGTTGTCAATATTGCATTTGTACTCTCTCCCTATCTGCCTAAAATATTTACTGTGTATTTTCTAAAACCATGGCATTCTCCTAAAAACAAGAACTCTCATATGTAAACACAATAGCATACTGGTATAATAATATGAAATGTGAAATACTGATATTTAAAATGCCAATCATTGATTATTAAATATGAAAACTTAATATACAATTATTAAAATCAAGAAAATAACATTGAAATAATACAATTATGTAATCTACAGATCTTAGATTTTTGTCAGTTGTCCCAGTAATATCCTTAGTAGTGAAAGAAAATCTGAGATCATGCATTACATTTATTTTTCATGTCTCTTTAGTCCTCCTTAATCTGGAAGTTTTTGAGTCTTTGTATTTCATGATATTGATATTTTTGAAGAGTGCTGGCCAGTTATTTTGTAGAATATCTCTCTAGGTGGGCTTGGGCTTGGCTGAGGTTTCCTTATGATTAAGTTCAGGTTGTTCACTTTTGGCAAGGACGTGACAAAAGTGACGTGAGTTCTTCTTAGCGCATCATATCGGGGATAGGTGATGTCCATCAGTTCTTTTTCTGGCAGTGTTAACTTTGTTTGGCTAAGGTGGTATTTACCAAGTTTCTTCCCTGTAATTTGACTACCCTTTGTTATTAAAAGTATCGGGTGGGGATATACTTTGAGACTGTATAAATATTTAGTTTTTATCGAAGTTTTATTCATTAGTTTTAGCACCCATTCATACTTTTTGCCTGGACCAGCTATTATTATGATGCTTGATAGATCATGATTTTCTAATTTCATGATTCCTTCTACATTAGTTGACTTTCTACTTGTAAGGAAGAGCTTCCCCTTATTTCTTCTTTCTCTGTCTATCTTATCTCTCTCTCCATTCATTTAGTCATTTACATATCAGTATAGATTCATGGACATTTGTATAGGTTTATAATCTTTTACTAGTATTCATTTGAGTGTTCAAGTCATCCTAGATTTGGCCAGTGTGAGCCCCTTAAATTGGCTCCTGTGTCCCTTAGATAGATCTGTGTCATTCTTTGAGCACTTTCTTGAAACATGTTTACTAATTTAGAATAATAATTTAAAATGTTAGTTCTAGAGTATAATTGTGATTGCAATCAGGAAAGATACTTTATTTTTAGGTACTCAAAAGTTTTTCCTCTCTAATTTTTGTAGAAAGTAAACTTTTTTAAATTGAAAAGGTCTTTGTAAACACATAAACTATGACTTTCTATGACTATGAAAGTAGTGTTCTTTGTAACCAAACATAGTATATGTTGCTTAAGATATAGAAAACACAGTAATGTATAACAGTGAGGTAAAAATCACCTCAAATTTTGTCCCCCAAAATAATCACTGTTAAAATTTATTGCTCCAGTGTCTACAGAAAAATCTGAAGTAAAATGAATGCCAGTTATCTGATCCATAATGGTTAATTAGTGCAATATTGCTTTTTCAAAGACTTCATTGAATTAAATAGAAGTAAACGATTGAAGTATTAGTTATAGACAGGCCTGGTTTCTCTTACATAGGTGAAAGATGTCATGAAGGATGTCATGTCGGACCTGCAGCAGACCAACAGTGAAAAGATCCTGCTCAGCTGGGTGCGTCAGACCACCAGGCCCTATAGCCAAGTCAACGTCCTCAACTTCACCACCAGCTGGACAGATGGACTCGCCTTTAATGCTGTCCTCCACCGACATAAGTGAGACATTACTCTATCTAGAAGTGGGCTTTACAAATTCATGTTTCTTCTCTGCCCCTTTGCTGCCACCACTACTCCCTGAAGCCCCTTCTCCAGTCCCACTGCTCTCCTTTCTGCATATGTTCTACCAAAACCTTAAGAAAAGAAATATCATGGAAGAAAACTACCCATCAAGTCTTTATTTCCTTAGGACTTAAATGCCACAATACAAGGTCCATAGTTTCTCCTGCATATTTATGAATTTAAAAAATATGAAATAACTTACATAGTTCAACCCCAGTCATTCAGCACTAACTGATAATATATACAAAAAATTGTGTTAGCTTTTCTTCTCATACCGAAAGTAGAACTCTGTAAATTCAATGCATTCCCAATTAAAATTAAAAGTAGCCAAATTGTCTTTAATGAAACTTGTGAACAGATTCTAGTTATATAAAAGACGAGGCCCAAGAATAGCCAGTAGACTTCTGAAGAAGAACCAGGCTAAAATACTTTCCAAAAAGAAAGTATGAAGCTATATTAATTAAGACTATGCAGTACTATCAATATACACACCAATGTAAGCTGAACCATATGAAATTGCCTACGTGACTGTTTTGCTGTATAAGAGTGGTATTTTCATATGGTTCAACCTAATAAAATTAAGAACTCAGAAATGGCTCCATTACACAGGAAAATCTGATATATGCTTGAGCTGACATTGCAGATTAATAGATGGTTTGGACAATTGATTACCCATATATAAATAAATGCATTGGATCTTTACTTCACCACACTAAAATAATAATAATAATAATTTCTACATGAATCAGGGATTGAAATGCCAAAGGCAAAATTTGTTATGTTTTATTGTTGTTGTAAATGATTACTTTTCTCAAGTTTCATTTCCTCTATTTTTTTTGCTGGTATATAAAAGTGCAATAGATGTTTCTACATCTTATATCTGGGAACTTAATCATTTCTTACACATTTTAGTAAGTTTGTCTCTGTAGATTGTAGGTTTTTTGGGAGAGGAGGGATTAGAATGTCCTAGAATTATGATCCTTTTATTTCTTCTGTTTTCTTTTTTGTTCTCTATTGTGCCTTGTCCTTCAATGCAGTGTTGATTTAAATTGGTGATAGTGAGTAGAATTTTTGTTGTTGATAACAAAAGGAGTGTTTTTAGTTTTACCATAAGAACAATGTTTTTTGTAGCTTTTTGGGTATACTTTTTATGAGGTTAAAGAATCCCTCCCTGCCAGTATTCATCCACTCCTCCTTTGTCAGTTTAAGAAGGTTGCCCTAGGTTTCTACTTGGTTAAGGGATTTTATCAAGAAAGTGTAGAGTTTTAGCCAATATGCCTTTCAATTTATTAATTAATTGATTCAACAAATATGCGTGGAGTGCCTTTTACGTGCTAGACACAGGGTATATGGCAGAGAACAAAACGGGCAAAAGTCTTAGTTCTCCTTGAGCTTATGTTCCAACAGAGGGAGATAGACAATAATAAAGTTGTGTAGTATATAGAAATAGTACACACACTGAAGAAAAATACATCAGACAACAGCAGAGGAGGCACCTGGGATAAGAGAGGCCAGTGGCTGTAGTGACCTGAGTTGGGGGAGTAATGGGAGATGAATTCAGGGAGGAAAGTGGGGGAAGTGCATCTCAGAAGGTGGGTGGATCTAACATGCAAGAACAGATACAGAATAAAGAAAATGATGAACTTTTGGGTAAGTCAAAGCAACAGTAATGTCCAATTTGTGGGATTAAAAGAAAACCAAGATAGAAACGAAATACAGTACTAGACAATATAGTAGCATGGAAGCGGGGCGTTGGAGGGAAACTCTTCCAATGTTTTTGTTTTAGGAATATCCTGAGAACAGATTAGAGCTGGATTTTGTGTTCTGCTAATCTTGATCTTTTAACTGAAGAATTTAGTCCGTTAACATTGATTGTGATAATTTATATATTTAGGTTCATTTTTACAACATAGTGTGAGCTGCTCATTTGTCTTATCTTTTCTGTGTTTTTTTTAATTTTTTATTTTTACTTTCTTATCTCTTTTTGTATCGGTAGGTTCCCCCTTACCCCCTTTTCTTCTGCTCTTTGGGAAATATTACATACTACTTCTAGTCTTAATGGTTACCACAGAAAAGAGCAGTCCTATTTAGCTAATACAAGATTCTTGGAAAGTATTATCTGTTATTTTCATATTTGTGAATCAATTTCAAGTACGTATTTGACAAGTCTTTGGAATATAAAAATAAACTCAAAAAATCCTCACAAATAAAAATAATCTAAAACTAAAATGTATTATAGTATAACAATGCCTACTTTGTTTCCACATATTTCATCTTCATTGCATTTTATTTGCATGGTTTTCAGACCTGATCTCTTCAGCTGGGATAAAGTTGTCAAAATGTCACCAATTGAGAGACTTGAACACGCCTTCAGCAAGGCTCAAACTTATTTGGGAATTGAAAAGCTGTTAGATCCTGAAGGTATTGTTCAGTGTTTAATTTCAGCCTTGATTTTACTTTACAGTTTTGCATTCTTGAAAAGCAGTGTCTCTTTGTCCTTTTAAAAATGAATTATGAGACCTGAAGAACCTTTTCCTTTTTGGAGTATAGGTGCAAGTCATTTTATTACTGACAGTTATTAATACTTTTGTACTTAGCAATTTGTAGGATCCTTTAGGTAGAAATTTAACTACAGCACTGGACAATAGTTAATCTAAATTAAGTAAGAATTAAAGTTTTAAGAAAATGTAATTATTAGATAAATTCAGTATCTGGTTAGTCCATTAAAAAGCATTTTTATGTGAGCTTCTTGCATGTGATGTAAAGACTTTAGTTATAAATATTGCAGGATTGAATTCTAGACTTATTTTCATAGTATGAATAAAGTCTGTATCTTTATCTTAAATGGTAACATATGGTAGCTTATCTTTGACCATTTTGGGGAAGCTTTTAGGGAAGACTTTAAAAAATGATATACTGAACAAAAATGAGTAATCCCTTTTGCCTTTGTCTCATATATTTTGAAGTGGCAATTTACTGAGCTGTGGTATTGCAAAGATTATGTATTAGGTATTGTTTATGGGTACTAAGGAGAGTTATTTTATATCTAATATTGAGAAATTCACATATTTTGGACACCTAATTTAAGCTGGTTCTTATATTCTTCCACTTTTAGATGTTGCCGTTCAGCTTCCTGACAAGAAATCCATAATTATGTATTTAACATCTTTGTTTGAGGTGCTACCTCAGCAAGTCACTATAGATGCCATCCGTGAGGTAGAGACACTCCCAAGGAAATATAAGAAAGAATGTGAGGAAGAAGCAATTAATATACAGGTACAGATAACATTTTATTAAAGTGTTTGGCTCGCCCTATTTGTTTTCTCCTAGGCAGTAGATAAAAACACTTTCAGAGGGTTTTTTTCTTGACTGAGAACTTCTTGGTTTCTCAGCTTACATTTGCATAAGAAGTTCAGTTTAGCAGTTAGCATTCTGTCACATTCATGTAATAGAAAAACCATAACTCAGTGGACTTTATTAAGAAGGAAAATACCTTATTTCACCCAGAAAAACTGGGCTGTTGATCATGCTGCTGCATGACATGCTGAGATTCTATGTTTTTACATCATCTGGTTGCCAGCTTTTATTTCTGTCATGTGCTAAGGATGGTTTTTCTCATATCAGCCTAGTTTTTGTTCTAAGTACTAATTGTCTTTCTTTTTTCGCCATTGAAAAAAAGATTTTTTTTTTCCGTTATATATCTCACAAGGGCTATCAAAATGTAAGCCTTATTTTCCCTTTCCTTTAGGAGCAGTAATGTATGGTAAACTACTGGTGAGCTTTTCATGAAGGGATTATGATGATTTCATTCATCAGGATATAAATGAATTTTTAAAGAGAGAAATAAAATCATAATTTATTTTCTTACTTAGTTATACTGTTTGAATGAATCCATATTTAATCTCATTCTGTTTTAGTCCAACCAGTCCTTGTAATTTATAAGATGAGAGAGTCTTAAGAGTTGGACCTAAGAAGTCACTTGGTTCAATATTCTAGTGACCAAGCAACCAAAACATACATGTAGATTTCAAAATTATAAGAAATACATTTCAGAGAGAAAGCAAGTTTGGGCTCCAGACCTTAAATTAATCCTGTTGCTACTTGTTTTGGGTTGTTACTTAAACTCTTAATCACAGTTTTGTCTGCAAAATGTGGTTAAAACCACCTACTTCATAAAGATAATGAATTCAAAGTATCTAAAATGACATTGATAAGCACTCAACAAGCAACAGCTATCATTATTATCATTTTTCTTCTGGATTTGTTTTGGCATTCTCATTTAACAGATTTCTTTAAAAAATTATTTAATTCTCATATTATGATACTAGTCTTGAATTGACACAGCATCCTTTTCCTTCCTCTGAGATTCAGAGAATTTACTTATTATTTTAAATTTTATTTGGGTAGTGTGTACCAATCCTTTTATTTCCCCCATTTCAAAAATAGAGTGATTTATAGAAAAAGAAAAAAACATTTATTGAAAAGAAAGGATTGAGAAATGAGGCCTGATTGTGAACCCACTCTTTTGAAGTGAATATCAAATGATGCTGACGAAAATTCCTAACTTACTGTAATTGAAAAAACTGCTAGGAAGCATTTGCATCTACAAGTGTAGTTATTATTCTACATTAATGATGCACCTTTTTAGATGGCTCAGATGATCTTCTGGGTTTGTTTTGGGGTTTTAGATTCATTTCCTTATTGCATTTTGTTAGAAGGTGGAGATATTTAGCTCTTATAGTTAAGGACCTTCTCTCTTAAAAAGGAGGGAGACTTCATTTACTTTTCATGATGTGCGGATAAAATAACCACTTATGTTTAGGGCTCAGGGTGGCATGATAAGAACTTCAGAAAACATTTGCTATCTGATTAAGTGCAAGTATATTAACACTAACGTCGTCATTTGCAAGCTTTCATTAGTGCCTTAGAGGCTGAATTACGCTAATTGAAAACTAAAATGTGATCAAGTTTTTTTTTTTGAGACAGAGTCTCGCTCTGTCGCCCAGGCTGGAGTGCAGTGGTGGATCTCAGCTCACTGCAAGCTCCGCCTCCCAGGTTCACGCCATTCTCCTACCTCAGCCTCCCGAGTAACTGGGACTACAGGTGTCCGCCACCTCGCCCAGCTAGTTTTTTGTATTTTTTTTTTAGTAGAGACGGGGTTTCACCGTGTTAGCCAGGATAGTCTCGATCTCCTGACCTCGTGATCCGCCCGTCTCGGCCTCCCAAAGTGCTGGGATTACAGGCTTGAGCCACCGCGCCCAGCGGTGATCAAGCTTTAATCATCTCTCTGACATAGCTTGCCGTCCACTACTCTCCTAATAGCCAGACTTCTTCTGCCCTGTTCTTTCTACAAACATACGCTGGTGGTCAGTGAATAATTCCTGCATTCAGATATTCACTCTTTAAATATCTGTCAGTTGAAAGTTTCCTCATGTGTTTGAATTAATACCATCTGAACATTTGTGTTTAGATAATGCCTTCCTTCTCGACCTCATGGATACTGGTGCCTATCTCAGTGACTTTTGGCTGGTCACAAACTGTCCTGGTTCTTAGATATTCTCATTTTAGTATAGAGGTTTGTAGCTAAATGATCTCCAGGGGTTATTTTAATTCTGCAGTTTTAGGATTTTTGGTCCATAACTTAACTCATTTTTATTTCTCTGTCTTTGGCACCATCTGTCTTTCAATTATCCATGGTTTCAACTCTGTGCTGATTGGCTCATTTCTTAACTCATATATTCAGTTTCCTGGATTCTTCACGTCTTCCTCCAAAATGTCTTTTGTGTGTGTTTTCATTCTATTCCAGCCTTCATACTAATTAAAGACTTCATTTTCTCCTGTAGTTTACAAGATGTGGCCTACCTCTGCTACTCTGCCCTGCAGTTAGAGTGGACTTTTTCCACTTTTTCCCCAAGATTCTTGTTCGTGCAGGTTCCCATCTGTTAAATGCTTCCCCACCCACCATTATATGGAAGGCTGCACATTTTTCCTCAGTTTAAATGGAGCCTTTTCAGAGAAGTCTTTTCTGATTAATCTATCAAAATACAACTCTCTGTCTGCCTGTCTCTTTCTCTCTCTCTATCTTGGTTTCTTGCTATCACAGTATTTTTGTAAACTGTGCTAAGAATTTTAAATTATATCTTAAGAGCATTGGGAAAGCCAGCGAAAGGTTTTCAGCAGGTACGTCTTATGATGGGATTACATTTTTGAAAGATCATTCTGGCTGCTGTGTGAGAAAAGGACTGTGGATTATGAAGGTGAGAGTGTTGGGTGGGGGAAAACAGTAAAGTAAAGGCACTTGTTAGCAGGTATTCCGGTTCAGAAGATGGATGTAGGTGGTCGTGGAAAGGGAAAGGTCTGGATGGATTTGAGATCAGTTTTGAAGGAAGGTCAGAATTACTTACATATTAAATGTGGAAGGTGAAGGAGAGAAGCCAGACTGGCTCCCAGGTTTGTAGCTGGAGTACCTTGTTGTAGGGAGGAGCTTCTACTGAGATGGAGAAGCCTGAGGAGGAACAATTGGAATAAAGTGAAGGGTTTGAATATGAACATGGTTTAATACTCCTAGGAGGCATTGAAGTAGAGATATGAAGATTAGTGGGATACTAGAGTTTGGAATCCAGACTCCTAGGTGGTTCTAGATGGTTCTTTAAATCCAATAAGAGTAGATGAGATTACTCAGAGTATAGAGAGGGGAGAAAAAAGAGCCCAGGACTTAATTTGGGGGAGACTCATTACTTATGAGTCAGCAGCTGCTGTTGAACCAGCAAGAAACAAGGGCAGTGTCGTAGAAGCAGGGAAAGAAGCTTCCGGAAGCTGAGGTTGCTCAGCCTTGAGGAATGCTACCGAGGGCTGAAGCAAGGAACGTGGGTGGCCAGCTCTCTGGGCTTTCTTGGGCAGTTCTGATTTAGATTTGTTGTTCGAGCATAGTTATTATCAAAAATTAGTTTGTTGGTTAATTATATGGTCACTGTGATGATGATGCTGGAAAGGTCCGTTTGGCAATGGGAAGGTTATTGGTGACATTGGCAAAAGCCTTTTCAGTTGAGTCATGGGGCAAATAGCAAGTTGAAGTTAGAGGGAATGTTAACAAACCGTAGCTGTTAAATACCTGAGCATTTTTTGTGTTGTTCTCTATACGTTTCTGTACGTTTGAAATATTCTACTTAAAAATTATGCGTGAGAGTTGATAAAGTAGAGACGGAATGTAGACAAGTCTTAAAGAAGTCTTGCTCTGAAAGGGAATAAAAGAACTAGGGAGAGTCAATTTGGTTATAAGCTCTTAAAGTATATAATGAAATACTCAGTTGTTTAGAAAGAAGTTGAAAGAAATTTATTCCATGAGCCCTAAAAGGCCATCAAATAAACCAGAGGGCAATTGCCTAAGAAAAATACAATCAGTACAACAGCCTGTGTGGCTGTCTTAGAATGCAGTTCAGCAAAAATAATTTACCTAAGGGTCAAAGCAGAAGTCTCACTTTTCTTTTTCTTTAAATTACAGAAAAGGCCCAACATGCTGTAGCTCCTCTATGAAACTTTCCTGACTGTTTTAGCCTTTGTTGAACTCAAATATCATGCCTTGTTGGGACCATGGCATTTACAACTTTTCTAATAGCTGTTTTTCAATTTCTGTTCAGAAGTGATTCATGTAGGTTCTCTGTCCCTGACTATATCAGAATCTCCTTGAGTACAGAATTCATGAGTGCATGCTGCTTTTATACTCTTTGCTACCCTAGTGCACTTACTCAATGCTTCAGACTCATTCATGACTGTGCCCACCTGGCTCCTGAGAATTGGATTAGTGCCTAAGACAGAGTGGTGTCTACTTTGGGTTTGCCATACAGTGTGAGTTTGCTGAACACCTCTTGCTTTCATGGTAAGTGTGGGTTTTTCTTGGCTTTGTTTTTACAGAGTACAGCGCCCGAGGAGAAGCATGAGATTCCCCGAGCTGAGACCCCCAGCACTGTCACTGAGGGTGACGCGGATCTGGACAGCTATCAGATAGCATTGGAGGAAGTGCTGACCTGGTTGCTTTCTGCCGAGGACACTTTCCAGGAGCAGGATGATATTTCTGATGATGTTGAAGAAGTCAAAGACCAGTTTGCAACCCATGAAGTAAATATCTGTAGTTTCTTAGCAGGGTGTGTCCCCCACGGGACCTGAGTCTTAATTAGGGACTCTACTCTCCTATTTGTTATCTACCGAATTCTGTTCTTTGGGAAGGTCAATGGTTTATTTCAGGAACTGTGATATTTAAATAGTGCTTTGTTACATAATTGGTATGGGTGATTAAACTGTGCCTCAGAATTAGATTTTAGATTTTAATCTCCTTGTATGTTTTGGAGAGCCACTGATGGAAATCATTGCATAGTACTGCTCAGTTCTGAAGTGCATTGTTATATTTCAAAAGCGAAGGAGTGAACCAGTACACCAAATCTTTAAGATCTGAGTGTTCTCTAGGAAATGATTATTCTTTTTAATTGCATGATTAGACAAATGTCATACCCAGGGTTCCTGTATTTTTTTATATCTTAAAAGTTTCCTGCTCCTTTGAGGACATACTATATTACAGCATAGTGAATTTCACTATATGGAGATTTCTTTTGGTTAAATTTTTCTTTTGTATAAGTATGTTAATTGACAGATCTTATTTGTTGTTTTGGATAGAAAATAATATAAGTGGTAACATCTCTTAAATAATTCCTCTTGGGTGAGTATGGTATTTTATTTTATATATATATATAAAATAAATATTATATATATAAATATATATATGATAAATTATATATATATATATTTATATATATATATTTTTTAAATAGAGTCTTACTCTGTCGCCCAGGCTGGAGTACAGCGGCGTGATCTCGGCTCACTGCAACTTCTACCTCCTGGCTTCAAGTGATTCTCTTGCCTCAGCCTCCCAAATAGCTGGGACCATAAACATGTGCCACCACGCCCAGCTAATTTTTTGTATTTTTAGTGGAGATGGGGTTTCACCATGTTGTCCAGGCTGGTCTTGAACTCCTGGCCTAAGTGATCCACCCACCTCAGCCTTCCAAAGTGCTGGGATTACAGGTGTGAGCCACTATGCTCGGCCTTTTATTTATTGTATTTATTTAGAATTCCATGTCCATGATCTATGAGTAGCGTAGTCAGCATTTACTTTAAAACAGCTGGTACTATCAGGTGCAACGTTGCTTGCTTTTAGCTATGTCTCTTTTAACTTATGGCAGGTGATTATTCCTATTTTCAGAGCTTAAAAAATGGGGTCAATGTCTGCACTGTTTGCACTCTACTAGGCTACCTTTTTTTGCATCACTGACATTTAGGTTAGGCATTAGCAATTTGTTCAGTTTTTTTTTTTTTTTTTTTTTTTTTGCACTGAGTAACTCACAAATTATACCAAATGTCCCTTTCTAGGCTTTTATGATGGAACTGACTGCACACCAGAGCAGTGTGGGCAGCGTCCTGCAGGCAGGCAACCAACTGATAACACAAGGAACTCTATCAGACGAAGAGGAATTTGAGATTCAGGAACAGATGACCCTGCTGAATGCTAGATGGGAGGCTCTTAGGGTGGAGAGTATGGACAGACAGTCCCGGTGAGTGGAAAGCCAAGAAATGCACTTAATTCCACAGGCTGCTTTGCACAGTTGAGCTCTAGGAGATGTCTGCATGTCTGCGAAAGCGAGATGATTACAGAACTTGCCTCGGAAAAGTAAGACTCTTTTCTATGGGTAATATTGCTGGAATTTTGCATGATCTTTGTTTCCCCTTTGGTGTGCTAGCCATATCAGAAGGTAAAAGTTGGAATACAGAACTTAACAAAAAGGGAAAAGAGGACAGGCCTGATGGCTCATGCCTGTAATCCCAGCACTTGGGAGGCTGACGCGAGTGGATCACTTGAGGCCAGGAGTTCGATACCAGCCTGGGCAACATGGTGAAACTCTGTCTCTATTAAAAATACAAAAATTAGCTGGGCATGGTGGGCCACGCTTGTAATCCTAGCTATTTGGGAGGTTGAGGTTTGAGAATTCCTTGAACCAGGAGTTAGAGGTTGCAGTGAGCTGAGATTCAGCCACTGCACTCCAGCCTGGGCAACAAAGTGAGACTGTCTCCAAAAAAAGGAAAAGACATTTCATATGGGCAGTTACTTATTGGCAATATTAAAATCAGCTAAACATTAACTTGGTGTGAAGACAGGACTATGTAGTATTGATCTACTTTTCCATTTTGTAACTTTTATTTTAAAGCTTTCTCATGGTTTATTTTATTTCATGTATTGTATCTTCTGGAGCAAACTTCCACCTATTTAATAAGTAGGAATTCCTGACTGAAGAAATAATGATTCTGATATGAATACAGGGTGCTGTTATTTGCATTCTTTGTCTGCATTTAATGAACTCCATTTAGGAAAAAAGAAAAGTTTACTTTCCTGGCTTCTATATTTAAAGACTAAATGCTACCTAGAATGTTTAGACAAGGGTGTTTTCCCTTGCCCTGTATCTCTGGTGCCCAGAATGTGTATTTGACTTTGCAAAGGGAAAAGGCTTGTAGGAATAACGCTGTGCTCCCCACGGGCAGGCTGCACGACGTTCTGATGGAACTACAGAAGAAGCAACTGCAGCAGCTCTCCACCTGGTTAACGCTCACAGAGGAGCGCATTCAGAAGATGGAAACTTGCCCCCTGGACGATGATGTAAAATCCCTACAAAAGCTGCTAGAAGAACATAAAGTAAATCTGTCTCATATTTCTTTGATACCTTATCAAATATGAAAGAGCAGCACTTAGCATCTCAGAGGCTGATGATGTCTATCATTAACATGAAGTTGTAACACTTCTTCAGGGTTCTCTTCATTTAGTAGCTCACGGTGGAATTGATAGGGATGAGACTTTTCTGAGCCAGGGATAAAAGGGCAGGTAAAATTTTATATGTGATGTACAGTTTTCTTATGAAAGTACATAGCTTTCATACAACTGGAGAAGGGTTCTTTTGACCCTGTAAGTGGTGAAGAACCCTACCATGTTGGCGTTCACACGGTGTGTGGGTGAAGAGCAAATTCTGAGAGGTGTCTGTACCTAAACCTTTAAGGAGAGCTGTTTCTTTGTCTGTGATCCAGGAAAGCATCAGGCGTTACGGGAGGAACCGATATTAGTTGGGCTTTTAATTTGGTCACTAGTTTAGGAGATAAACTTTTCATAGTTAAGATAAGGAAAGGTAGAATAAAATATGCTCTCTGTAAACTGAAGACTTTTATTGATCAGTGAAACACTGAGGTAACTGATGCGTAAAATTTTAGGAATACATTAAACACACCTCTGAGAAGCTTGTGAGAACACTATTGATAGTGTTTAAATACATTTTCTTTCTTTTCTTTTCTTTTTTTTTTTTTTTTTTGAGATGGAGTCTTGCTCTATCACCCAGGCTGGAGTGCAATGGCAAAATCTCAGCTCCCCCCTGGGTTCAAGTGATTCTCCCACCTCAGCCTCCCAAGTAGCTATGACTATAGTCGTGTGCCACCACGGCTAATTTTTTGTATTTTTAGTAAGGTTGGGGTTTCACCATGTTGGCCAGGCTGGTCTTGAACTCCTGACCTCAAGTGATCCACCTGCCTTGGCTTCCCAAAGTGCTGGGATTACAGATGTGAGCCACCATGCCCAGCCTATAAATTTTCTATACACATGTATCCAATGACTATGCTCTTCCCATGGAAAAGGTGAGAGAATCTAAGGTGTCCATACTTCCTTAGCCGCTTTATTGGGTAGCTAATCAGAGTAACTTTTGACTATCATGTAACATTCTACTTATCTCTTTATACCGTCCTACACTAGATAAAATGATTTCTGACTTGGTATATTTAAGCTCTGGACTTTTTTGCTTTACCACCTCTACATTTTTGTCTTAATTCTTAGTATGGACACTCAACTCCTTTATGCTATAAATTCTGAGGGAGGGTCAGAACTTGAATAAAAGTGGTGGTATCTCCATTTGCAGTCTGTTATAACATTGCATCCTCAAACTGCCTTTGTTGATAATGGAATGTAAAGATGTAAGATAGGATTAGTTTCATTAGTAGAACACTTGGGGTACTGACTGGAAATTTAAATACGATGCCTCATTAACTGTCCTTAATTACTATTGACAACTGAGTGCATTTTAAATAGGTAAATGTGAAAGAGTAGAAATAATGGTTTATCTTAATTTTTTTCTCTAGAGTTTGCAAAGTGATCTTGAGGCTGAACAGGTGAAAGTAAATTCGCTAACTCACATGGTGGTCATTGTTGATGAAAACAGTGGCGAGAGTGCTACAGCTATCCTAGAAGACCAGTTACAGGTAAGGGCCCTGTAAAGTTGGATAATCCTGAGGGACCTGTGATCTGAGACCCAATTACATATTGCTCTTGTTCTTCATGTACTTTCTCATTCTTTATCCAGAAGGGTAGAAAAACCTACCTTTGGTTGTATTTCCCAGTTGAGATTCTACAGTGTGTGGGCTACAGGAGTACCCAGGTATTGATTCCTTTACTTAAGCTCTTGGGGTGAATGAGTGAGACTGGTTGCAGTCCCCAGCTTCCTTGTCCATAATGACGAGATTTAGAAGCACAGTGTATTAGTCCATTTTCACACTGCTGATAAAGACACACCTGAGACTGGGAAGAAAAAGAGGTTTAATAGACTTACAGTTCCATGTGGCTGGGGAGACCTCACAATCATATCGGAAGGGAAGGAGGAGCAAGTCATATTTTACATGGATGGTGGCAGGCAAAGAGAGAGAGCTTGTGTAGGGAAACTCCCTTTTTTAAAACCATCAGATCTCGTGAGACTTATTCACTGTCACAAGAACAGCAAGAGAAAGACCTGCCCCCATGAATCAATTACCTCCCACTGGGTTCCTCCCTTGAAACGTGGGAATTGTGGGAGTTACAATTCAAGATGAGACTTGGATGGGGACACAAGCAAACCATATCATTCTGCCCCTGGCCCCTCCCAAATCTTGCGTCCTCACATTTCACAACCAATCGTGCTTTCCCAACAGCACCCCCAAAGTCTTAACTCATTTCAGCATCAACTCAAAAGTCCACAGTCCAAAGTCTCATCTGAGACAAGGCAAATCCCTTGTGCCTATGAGCCTGCAAAGTCAAAAGCAAGTTAGTTACTTCCTAGATACAATGGGGATACAGGTAAAGAGTAAATAAATCTGTTCCAAATGGGAGAAATTTGCCAAAACAAAAGGGCTACAGTCCCCATTCAAGTATGAAATCTGGTGGGGCAGTCAAATCTTAAAGCTCCAAAATGATCTCCTTTGACTTCATGTTTCACATCCAGGTCACGCCTATGCAAGATGTAGGTTCCCATGGTCTTGGGCAGCTCTGCCCCTGTGGCTTTGCAGGAAATATCCCCCTCCGGACTGCTTTCATGGGCCAGTGTTAAGTGTCTGCGGCTCTTCCAGGTGCCAGGTGCAAGCTGTCAGTGGATCTACCACCCTGGGGTCTGGAGAACAGTGGCGCTCTTCTCACAGCTCCACTAGGTGGTGCCCCAGTAGGGACTCTGTTTGGGTCACATTTCCCTTCTGCACTGCCCTGGCAGAGGTTCTCCATGAGAGCCCCACCCCTGCAGCAAACTTCTGCCTGGATGTCCAGGTGTTTCCATACATCCTCTGAAATCTAGGTGGATGTTCCCAAATCTCAATTCTTGACTTCTGTGTACCTGCAGGCTCAACACCACAAGCCAAGGCTTGTGGCTTGCACCTTCTGAAGCCATGGCCTGAGCTGTACTTTTGCCCCTTTAGTCATTGCTGGAGCAGCTGGGATGCAGGGCACCAAGTACCTAGGTACAAGGCATGGGGACCCTGAGCCCAACCCACGAAACCATTTTTCCCTCCTAGGCTTCTGGGCTTGTGATAGGAGGGACTGATGTGAAGCCCTCTGACATGCCATGAAGATGTTTTCCCCATTGTCTTTGTGATTAACTTTTGCCTCCTTGCTGCTTATGCAAATTTCTGCAGCCAGCTTGAATTTCTCCTTAGAAAATGAGATTTTCTTTTCTATTGCATTGTCAGGCTGCAAATTTCTCAAACTTTTATGCTCTGTTTCCCTTATAAAACTGAATGCCTTTAACAGCACCCAAGTCACCTCCTGAATGCTTTGCTGCTTAGAAATTTCTTCCACCAGATACCCTAAATCATCTCTCTCAAGTTCAGAGTTCCACAAATTTCTAGTATAGGGGCAAAATGCTGCCAGCCTTTTTGCTAAAACATAACAAGAGTCACCTTTGCTCCAGTTCCCAGGAAGTTCCCCATCTACATTTGAGACCACCTCAGCCTGTATTTTTTTGTTTATATTGCTATCAGCATTTTTTTGCAAAGCCATTCAACAAGCCTCTGGGAAGTTTCAAACTTTCCAACATTTGTCTCTCTTCTTCTGAGGCCTCCAAATGTTTCCAACCTCTGCCTGTTATGCAGTTCCAAAGTCACTTCCACATTTTGGGGTACCTTTTCAACAGTACCGCACTCTGCTGGTACCAATGTACTATATTAGTCCATTTTCACACTGCTGATAAAGACATACCTGAGACTGGGAAGAAAAAAAGGTTTAATGGACTTAAGTTCCATGTGGCTGGGGAGGTCTCACAATCATGGCAGAAAGGAAGGAGGAGTAAGTCACATCTTACATGCATGGTGGCAGGCAAAGAGAGAGAGCTTGTGCAGGGAAAGTCCCCTTAATAAAACCATCAGATCTTGTGAGACTTACTCACTATAATGAGAACAGCACAGGAAAGACCTGCCCCCATGCTTAAATTACCTCCCACCAAGTTCCTCTCAAAAAATGTGGGAATTGTGGTAGTTATAATGCAAGATGAGATTTGGATGGAGACACAGGCAAACCATATTACACAGGAACTGATCTTATTAAGTGGCCACTGACTTCTTCTCAGAAGCACTTGAGGAGTTTGTTAAAATGTGGATTCCCAGGCTCTACCCAGAACCTAAATCTAAGTGAGGGAGGGGTGCAGTGAATTTGCAATGTAAGAAAAATTATGTGCATACTAAAATTTGAGAATTTCATCTAGTAGAATTCAATATCTCACTGTTTTCAGTAGATTAATATGTGAATTTCAACACATGTTATTTCAACACATATATTCAACACATAGTTTTGGAAACCCCCCAAAATTGCTTCTTTTTGCACAAGGCAATAGTGGATCTTTACAAGTCTTTAACAAATAAATTTATTGGTATTTCATTTGAACAATACTTAGATTTCCTGATAAGACATTGCCAATTTATTTAAATGTGATGCCTCATTAAGTGAGGCAATCCAAACTGTAATTTCATCACACGAGGTCCTTTTCCTTTTGTAATATTTAAAGTCAGCCAGTGTTTCCAAGACTTGTATGTGGTAGTTAGTTATTATAACCTGAGAGCTAAGTATTCATACCTTGACTATTTAGCAGTAAGGAATATGAGATTCAGAGAGGTTAAGTAGTCCTCCTGAGATTTAAATAGACAATGAGTTATCATGCTGAGACTAGAAATCTATCTTCTGGTTCTTAAGTTTTCTACCCTTTGCACTATGAAAAGCTTATTCTCGTATTAAGTATCAAAATAGTATAATATGAATTAAATAATTCTTGTTCACATATATATAGTACAAAAATAAATTTTAATATTTGTTAAGCATTTATAAAATTGTAATAAAATGATTTTGGCGGAAAAAATCATGAAGAGTGATTTTTTATAATTAATGACATTTATCTATTTAGTATTGCTGATACTAATAAGATTCTGTTGCTAGTTTATGTAACTTATGGGGAATTTTTTTATGGATCACATAATGTAAACAGAACAAATCATTTGATGTTTTTATTGTCTCATAAAAATTCTCTTATTCAAAACAGTTTTTGTAAGTTAAACATTTTTTATAATTTTGGTACTACAGAGGAAAATTTTCTTGTCATGTAAAAGAGAGTTAAGGAATATAACGGAAATGCTGGATTTTTTAGGTAAAAATTGGAAAAATTGGAAAAATTTGAAGCACAAAAAGTAGATATGTTTGCTGTATTTTTTTAATAATACGTAAAAATGTCATATTGTCATAAAAACAATTCAGACAATAGTTCAGACAATAGTTCTAGTTATGCTAGTTTCTAGCTATGTGAAATCATTTGTTTAATTCTATGGAAATTAGTTTTTCTAATTCATACATTTATAGGCCTAGTCTGTGTTATTTTAAAGAAACTTTTATAAAAATACTTTTTATAAGTTGCTATGCTATAATAAAGAATAATGGAAATCATGAATTCCTTCAAGGATTGTGATAACTCTCTCTTAAGGCTGTGTTGACAAAGGATGGTTTCTCCTTTTCCTAGAAACTTGGTGAGCGCTGGACAGCAGTATGCCGTTGGACTGAAGAACGCTGGAATAGGTTACAAGAAATCAATATATTGTGGCAGGAATTATTGGAAGAACAGGTATGAAACTGTTTTCCATAAGGGGCAAAATAAATGGTGAAAAGTAACCCATCTTTTATTGTGACATTAGAATAAAGTTGCCTTGTTTACTTTTCTTTGAAAGGGAAATATATAAATAATTATTTTAAAGATCAAATTTCTATCCAGTTGGTAGCTGATCATGAAGCTTATTCATAGAGATTATGTCATTTGACTCCATTAATTTGACCTGTTTTCATTACTTGGAATGTTAGTACTTGGATATGCTATTTTCATGATTTGTTTGACATTATAGTTATTAGTGAATTTGTGTTGGGTGATGTGTTTGAATTTGTGTCGACACAAGGCCTAGCATATAATTTGTGCTCAATAAATAATGAATTATGAATCCACTCAATACGTTATGAACTTTAATTCCCTAGATTTTTTCTTGATTTTTAACAAATATTGAAATTAATGAGAAAATATTATTTAGCAAAACCTTTGATTTAATACTGGGTTAATTGCATGTTTTTTCCACTAAGTGTTACCCCAGCAAATGAGCCTGTTGTACAAAGCTGCCACCTTAATTTTTCAACACGAGTGGTGGCTCTTTGCCCATTCTCTGTCCTTCTAGAAAAGCAACCATCGAAACAAAATACAAATAAGCAAAACTTTTCTCCCCAAATGCCAAACAGTTGTGGTTTAAAAAATAAGCAGATACTGGCAGGGCGGGATGACTCACGCCTGTAATCCCAGCACTTTGGGAGGCCGAGGCGGGCGGATCACTTGAAGTCAGGAGTTCAAGACCAGCCTGGCCAACGTTGTGAGACCTTGTCTCCACTAAAAATATAAAAATTAGCCAGGTGTGGCGGCGAGCACCTGTAATCCCAGATACTCAGGAGGCTGAGGCAAGAGAATCACTGGAACCTGGGAGGCGGAGGTTGCAGTGAGCCGAGATTGCGCCATTTTACTCCAGTCTGGGAGACGAGAGCAAGACTCCGTCTCAAAAAAAAAAAAAAAAAAAAAAAAAAAAAGGCAGATACTCTATTCCCACATCTCTCAGTGTCCATTTTGATTCTTTTAAATACTTTTCATTTCCGTCTATAAGAAGCAACTATATTCTCTTCAGGGGAAAAAACCCAAGTGTATGATGTTTTGTGGCTTACTAAATATGGTGGCAGATAGTACATCTTAAAAAGTAGGTTGCAGAATTTGTCCAAATATAAATTGGTAATGACTACTTCCCCCTCCCTCAATCTGTGGTCAGATTTATCTTGTTAGGAATCACAAAAGGGACCTGATTCTGATTCCTGAAATATTTACATTTCACTTTACAAACATTTACATTTCACTTTATAAATATTTACGTTTATTGTGAACCTTGTATTTAGGCTGAAGAGCCTCATAGAATAGTTAAAATTTTACTTCAATAATGACAGTAGAAAGGCCGGGCGCAGTGGCTCACGCCTGTAATCCCAGCGCTTTGGGAGGCCAAGGCGGGCGGATCACTTGAGGTCAGACCAACATGGTGAAACCCGTCTCTACTAAAAATACAAAAAATTAGCCAGGTGTGTGGTGGGCACCTGTAATCCCAGCCACTTGGGAGGCCCTGGAGGCAGGAGAATCGCTTGAACCCAGGAGGCAGAGGTTGCAGTGATCCCAGATGGCACCACTGCACTCCAGTCTGGGTGACAGAGTGAGACTCTGTCTCAAAAAATAAAAATAATAGTAATAATAATAATTGCAGTAGAAGACATCGATTACTAGAGAAAACCATTGTGTTACTCTTCTATCCAGTAAAACAATTGCAAATTTGGAAATAATTTTAATTTGATGATAAGAAATAGTTTAAAAGTAGAGTGGCTGACCTTTCAATCGTGTTCTATAATGATCTGACATTTCAACTATGCATTTTGTGTGTGTATGTAGTATCAACATGTTCTGTCTTACGGCATCATTATTTATATGCATATTTTACCAGCCTCACTAGACTGAGGACAATATCCATATTTGTCTCTTATTTTCCCAATGTTCATTATTTTGGGGGGTGAAATATAGAGGCAAGGAATAGTTGTTAAATATTTAATTGATAAATAAAATCACTGAGAAAGGATTGATTCCATTGCAAATACAGAACCAGTTTTTTTCCCTCCCTACTAAATAGAAAAGGGTTTCTGCCCTAAATGCTACATTTTGGGAAAAATTATCACAATGTAGCTAGAATTGTTTTCCATCCCTTCTTCAGGATTATCTCTCTACATAATTGAATATCCTCTGCTTAGAAAACACGCATTGTTGGCCAGTGAAGTTTAAAAATTTTACATGGGCTTTGGGTGATCTTCAAACTCCCTCCTTTAATCATAATTGATGTTAAACCTTGAATGCTAGGGTGGATTTCCTACATGATGCCATGGAAAGACCATTGGTTTTGGGGTGCGGACCCTTGACCCAGCTCTGCTGTTAACTAGCCAAGTGATCTGGGACTTGTAACTTGACTTCTCTTTCCTCCCTCTCTAAAGTGAGGGGCTGGGACAAGACAATCTCCCAGCTTTCTTCTGCCTCTAGAAAGTTATAATGTAACTCCTTTGGAGACTTGCATAGTTGGATTTTCCCTTTTCCCTCCACTTATCTCCTTGAGAATTAGGTTTAATTCCCTAGGTATGAGGCTAATGTCAGATTGTTCTGCTACAAATCTGAGAAGGATAATATTTTAAAGAAAGGTATCTTTCTGGGTCATTTGTGCCTCAGACTTAGGTGTTTGAAGGCCTTCTTATCCCCAGGTAAGGGTGAAGCCTCTAATAAAATAAAAGTTAGAAATCTGGATGCATGATTTAATTGAATTATCAAATGATTCTGCAGATAAAGTTCAATTTTTGTTGTTACTTGTAGTGCTTGTTGAAAGCTTGGTTAACCGAAAAAGAAGAGGCTTTAAATAAAGTCCAGACAAGCAACTTCAAAGACCAAAAGGAACTGAGTGTCAGTGTTCGACGTTTGGCTGTAAGTCATGGGGTCGTCAGCATCTGTGTTGTAAGCCTATAATATCTTAATGTTTTCTAGCTAATGGTTAATACAATTTAGTGAATACAGATTACAGCTCATTACCTAGCGTTAGACTGCTGCCCTGTAACAATCTGGAACTACAAGTCTTACCTTTTAGCATAGTGAGCTGCAAAGCACGTACATTTTACTATAAAATACACATGTTTAAAATTTTTGGCTGAGGAAGGGAAGATAAAGTCCTGTTAAAAAGAGTCATCTAATAAACATCTGAAATACTAGATTTTGAAGGAAGACATGGAAATGAAGCGTCAAACATTGGATCAGCTGAGTGAGATTGGCCAGGATGTGAGACAATTACTTGATAATTCCAAGGCATCTAAGAAGATCAATAGTGACTCAGAGGAACTGACTCAAAGATGGGATTCTTTGGTTCAGAGACTAGAAGATTCCTCCAACCAGGTACTTTTTGATTTAGATGGTATGTTGTACCATGAAGTAAACATTTAAAATTTAAATGTTCAGGTTAGTTTTAATTTGTATGAAATAAAAGAGTAGTAGACAAACTAAAAAGTTGGTTCCTTATACCTGATGAAAAATTGACATGTGAAAATTGCCTTCAGTTTTCTAAAGTAAGTTTTAATAGATTCTCTTAATATCCTGTAATTTAATTCATAGTAACTGATTACACTTAGCCAATACATAATTTAAACATCTTAAATCTTAAGTAATCTTATTAATCTTAAAAATATTTTAATGAATTAGTCAAACATAAAGCATTGGTTTGTAGACAGATGTTCTTAGCAGCATTATTTATAATGGCCAAAAAGTGGAACAACTCAATTATCCATACACAGATGAATGGATAAACAAAATGGGGTGTATGCATACAATACAATATTATCTGACAATACAAAATAATGAAGTATTTACACATGCTACAACATAGATGAACCTTGAAAACACTATGCTAAGTAGAAGAAGCCAATCACAAGATTATATGCACTATGATTTCATTCACAGGAAATATCTACAAGGGGAAAATCCACAGAGACAGAAAGTAGATGCGTGGTTGCCACTGGTGGAAGTGGGGAATGGAGAGTGATGGTTTATGGGTATGGGATTTCTTTTTGGGAGTGATAAAATGTTCTGGAGACAGAGTGTGAGGATGATTATACAACTGTATAAATATACTAATAACCATTAAATTATATATTTCAAAGAAAATTTTATAGCATGTGAATTATATCTCAATGAAGTTGCTATAAAAATTGAAATTTTGGATGGCTTTTATTTCAGGTGACTCAGGCTGTAGCAAAGCTGGGGATGTCTCAGATTCCTCAGAAGGACCTTTTGGAGACTGTTCGTGTAAGAGAACAAGCAACTACAAAAAAATCTAAGCAGGAACTGCCTCCTCCTCCTCCCCCAAAGAAGAGACAGATCCATGTGGATATTGAAGCTAAGAAAAAGTGAGAAGAGATAGAGCAATTGTTCAAACTCAATATTGTACATACTGTATTTTCTACTTGGTGCCTATTTCGTACTAATCATTAATCATAGGCAAGTCTAGACATAATAATTATCATTATTATGAAAAGTCAACTACTGAAACACCCACCACCCCTGTCTTCTGAATATTCTACTTGGCACCAGCTAAGCATCTACTTGGATAATTTTATTTATCCTATGTTCAATTGGGAGAACTCTGTGATCAAACCTTTCTTTCTTCCTTTCCCGTCATTCTCCTTGGAACGATATGATTGTCCATGACTGTCTTTTTATTCTTTCTTTCACTGCTCACAACTCGACAGTTTTGCTTTAGGTAGACATCTCTATTTTTGGTGAATCTCTTTCCTCCTCTCACCATTAAAAAAATCCTTAATTCAGGGAAATAATTCATTTCTAGTGTCCTTTTTTCTCCTCTTTCTCCCTTATTCTTTTTCATGTTTTGTTGTTTCCTTTATTAATTTCTTTGTCAGATTAATTAACATATACTTTGTATTTGGCTTAAACATCCATCTTTGTCATAAAATATTTCTTTTAGTCTTATTGATTCAAAAGAAAACTCAGGATCTCTTGAAGAAGAATAATCACAGCTGACATATATCGAGCTTTTACTGATGTCAGCTATTCTATTCAACTCTACTGTGTGCAGGTACTGTACCTGACATGAACTACAGCAGGTAATCCTCAAAGCAGTCTTTGAGTAGTAGTGTTATTCTCTCCCTCTTACAGTAGAATCCTATGCTTGGGGTAAATGGGCAATTATTTTGGGCCTGAATAAAAATTATACGTTTCTGCAACTTAGCTTTTGTAAAGAAAGCAGCATTCCAGTGTTACCAGATGGTTTTTATTTTGATAATAAGTCTATGTTTCTGCCTCCTAATAGCATCTCCTTGTAGGACAAGCATACTTCTGAGTTGCAAGCAGCAGTTGTGGAACCTTTACTTTTGGAGCCAAGACAGCACAGGAAAAAGATGCTTCTAATGTTAATATTAGCATAGATCTCACATTTCCTCAGTGGATATTATCTGCCAGGTGTATCTGGCAGTGTATCTCTCCAATACTGACTTTGTGCATTTGGAAGCACAGAAGGTTGTCGAAGACTAGAGTACATAACTGTGAAATCTTAAACATGACTGTATTGTATAGGGTACTTTGTGCTGCAAGAAACAGAATACCGTGCCCAAAGTGTCTTAAACAATGAGATCATTGGTAATCCCATATTACAAAAGTTCTGGAGGTAGGGAAGTTCTGTTTTAATGGAAGGGTGTGGTTCAGCAACCCTTCATCTGCAGTCTCTTGTCATTCTAAGGCTTTTACCCTTACCCTTGTCTTCTTAGCAGACTTCTGCCCTGCTCTCCCTGATCCCCTGGTGCATGGGAAGTTGAAACTATCTGGCCTTTTGAGTCTCTGTAGTTGTGTTTTGGGGACTCCAACTACAAGGAAGAATTATGGAGAGAGGGTGTCTGTCGTGTGGGCAACCAGCTGCGAGGATGCCAGTTATTGACTCCACCACTTGACTGATGCAGACATTCCTTCAGTGAATTCTTGGATGAATAGAGGCTTGAATACATCCATTCATTACAGTTAAATCTCATTATTATAGAAAGGTCATTTTCATGCTCAAATTCTGCCACCTCTAAGTCTACCTACATGTGCTAGCTCTTTTGGAATGATAGGGAGAGCCACATAGCCTTTTTCAATATGTGACCTCCTCAGTCTTTTATATCCCAGTTTTTATTGTCATAAAGTGCAGGAGATCCTTAACCATTCCTATTAAAATGGTTTCCAGACCCTTTTATATCTTCTCTCTGCTCTGGAAATCACTATTAGTTTGCCTTAAAATGGACTACCCCAATAATCGAGGGCCTTAAATGACTGCTTAATGCAGTGCCTAGTTTAAAATATATGCTTAAAAAATGGCGGCTCATTTCCACTTCTCTTTGCTTGGTGCTGCTGTGGTGGTGGTTTTTACCAGCTCAGGGTACAGTGGGACAGTCATTTCCTAGAATGTAGATACCTGTTCCTGTGACCTGCGATCATTGCGTCACCCTTGCCTGTATTCAAAGCAGTTGCTGACTGAGTCTCCAAGGTCATTGTAAAGGTGTGATTTTTAGATGACAGTCTCTTCTCTGAAAGATTAAATAGAAAGCTGCTGTTAAGATGACAGGAGGAACGTATCCCTGTTTGAGCAGTACCTTGACCCCAATTATTTATCTAGAGCATCACAAAATCCCTCACATATTACAGGGAAAATCTGCCTTGATGAAAAGATAAAATATTCATAATTCACCGGAAACACTTTAAGCAAAGTTTCTCACAAGAATCAGCAGTAACGACTTGTGCTTAACGTACCGAGAAGCTCTGTGGGGAGGGTACTAGTTAAGAAGACAGACAGTCTCGGTTTGAATCCCAGCCTCACCCTTTGTTAGCTTTGTGACATGGGACAGTTATTGAAAACCTCTGTGAGTACACTGCCTTCATCTCTAAAGGGGATAATAATAGTGTATATTTCATAGGGTGCTGGTGAGGATTCCTTGAGTTAATAATAGACATAAAACACTTCGATCACATCAGTGATCGTGGCTCTTCTTGTTCCTCCTTGCTGTGGTTTTGACCAACCTTCTCAACACCTGTCAAACCTGTCCTTTCGTCTTCCTTCCCACTGTTACTATCTTAATTGTGACTCCTGTTGCTTCACAGCCTGTTCTCGGCTCTTGTCTCTCTTTAATGCTTTCTCCTTGGTGAACAGTAAAGGATAAATAGAATCATGTCAGTTCCATGCATAGAACTCTTCCTAAGCTCTCAGCTGCCTTTGGGTTAAGTCCAAACTCCTTAATACATCCTGCAGGGCCTTCCTGTAGCTGGTCCATGTGATTCTTGGCCACATCGTCAATTGTCCCTCCCTTGTGAGTTCAGTACTCATTATTCCAGACACGCCTAACTAATACTTGCAGTTTGCAAGATGTGATCTTCCCTTTGTTTGCTTTCCCTTGGCAAGGGAAATTCCTCAGTATAATGCTGTCGTTCTCCTCTAGGAAGCCATCTGTGCCCCGATTGGATTAGAAGCTACTCCTGTGAATTCCTGGAATTAGCACCTAGCAAATTCTTTTGTTATTGCCTGTTACTTTCCATTGCTTACTAGACTAGAAGCTCCTTGGGAGCCGAGATTTTTATCTGGTTCACTTTCATATGAAGAGTCCAACCCAATGCCTGACATTTAGTAAGGCTCAATCATTACATATCGAACAAAAGAAGATGTTAACCTTAGGAATGTCTGTACTTGTTCTTTGCTCACGATCTAACCAAATCTGGTTTTTATTATCTACAAGCATTTATAAAACTACAAGTGATTCTTTGTAAAGGTAATATATTAAAATATATAAATTTTATAAATATATAAAATCTTTAATATATAAAGTTTTAAAAATTGTTATTTAAGGCCGGGCATGGTGGGTCATGACTGTAATCACAGCACTTTGGGAGGCCAAGGCAGGCGGATCATGAGGTCAACCTGGCCAACATGGTGAAACTCTGTCTCTACTAAAAATACAAAAATTAGCTGGGCTTGGTGGTGGGCACCTGTTATCCTAGCTACTCGGGAGGCTGAGGCAGAAGAATCGTTTGAACCCGGGAGGCAGAGGTTGCAGTGAGCCGAGAAGCCATTGTACTCAAGCCTGGGTGAAAGGGCGAGACTCCATCTTGAAAAAACAACAGCAGCAGCAGCAGCAAATTATTTAATTATTTTCTTCAATTATTTATTAACCCTATAATATTGTTACTTTTTTCATACTTTTATTTGGAAATATATTATCTTATTTTGCATTGTTACCCTATTTATGGGTTGCTGTATTTGGGGGAGTGATAAAAATTATTCCTGATGAGCATTTGGGTTGCTCTTTCTGGAGTCAAGTAAAACAATAGAAGAAAACATGACAAATGGTCACCTCTGAATCTTCAAACAGGTTTGATGCTGTAAGTGCCGAGCTGTTGAACTGGATTTTGAAATCAAAACCTGCCATTCAGACCACGGAGATAAAAGAGTATATGAAGATGCAAGACACTTCTGAAATGAAAAAGAAGTTGAAGGTAAAAAACATAAACCACATATATCCTACTGCAAAAATAGTTCATCATGCTGGATTTTCTGCTGGCATAAAGACATTATGGAATTCAAAAGCCTCCTGTAAAATAAATGTAGGCAGAAGGTAGCTTTTAGTACATTGTAGTGAATTTTGAATCCATTCATGCTAGCTGTCATCAGATCCCTATTTGGAGGAGGGTTTTGTTTTCATCTTTATCAATCATGGAGATGTACAGTGAGGAACACTTCTTATGGTGATACAGTTAGTAGTACTACTTTTTAGTTAGTTTAGATCACTCTTAATCTGGTATCTAATAATTTATGACTTTATATTAACGTTATGCTGAAGATGTTTTGCCTTCAGAATACAACAGACTATTTTAAATCAAAAAGTGTCTTCAATATCTTTTCTTTAGAGTTGTAAAAAATAAATACAATTAAAAGGTGTGGGATCTTAGCCCTGCTGCTTTCCATGCTTATGTGTGTTTCTGAAGAGTGTGATGGGAGCTTGTAGAACTTTTTTGTCCTTGGTGCTCATACGTACGTCTCCTACACATTACTGCAGTAACTATTTGGGCACCTGGTGTAAGTCTGCAATGGTTTTTGTATCAACAGTGGAGTTTCATTTTTAAAGAGTTTGGAGGATATTTTAAAAACAAGATGTGCATAAATATCTAAGGTTTAAGTTGGAAAGTGGTGGGTGAAATGGGAATTGAGATGAGGCTGGGATTGCGGGTGTCTCCCTGCAATCACAAAGTCCAGAGGGCGAGGTGGTCTGAGCTCGAACTTGCAAGAAGGCTTAGGGCACACCAAGCACAGGGAGCTGTTTTCTTTGTCCAGAATGACGCACCTTTCTGTGTGGTTGAAATGTCCCCACTGCAGGAGGCTTCCCTTAACCTCACTAGAAAGAGTTCAGTGATTAATCTTTTGACTTCATGTGACTTTGGCCATGTCTCCATGAAAGCCCTTGCATTTATGCTGTTGTTTGTTTATATGTCTGCCTGTGAGGCCTTAGACATTGAAGATAATTTCCCATTGCACCCTTTTTATTCAGCACTTGATAAAGCTCTTGTAGCTCATGGAAGCGGAGTGTGATGATTGTGGGTGGGCAGGGGGAATGGGGATGTTGGTTGTGCAGGGAGCAACTTTATCAGAGCCCTCTCTGCACAGAGAGTTGGGAAAGCCAGAAATGGGGCCTGTGTTACATCATTTCATATGCTTCTCACAGTTCTGAAAGATGGATAGATGATTTTAATGATCACTGACCACCCAATTCTAAAAGATATTCGGGTGGCAGAAAATTTAGTAGTAACAGATCTTCATGGAACAAGTTCCACAAAGTATTGATAAATTAAAGTCTATCCTGTGACCCAGAACAATTTTACTGGCAGAAGTTGTTACTATATTTGGGGGGATAAAGTATGTAAGGCGTGATTGGTGTTCCTTTGTGTTTCATTTAATATTTATCTAGAAGTTCATTTATTTTGTTTCAGATGAGTAGTAACAGATGCCAAAGATTTGGAAAAAAATATATAAAATAAAGAAAATTTCAGCATTATTCTAATCCCCTATTTTTCTTGCAAACTGAGGAAAGATCGACTTATTTTTCTTCTTATTTTTATTATTTAGTGAAGGAGTATCTTGTTCCAACAGATGAATTACCTGGGTGGAGAATCTATAGTCTAGTCTCCTGCCATCTTAAGAGGAAGCAAAATATCTACTTGTAAAAAGGAGACAATTGCCTTTTTCTCAAGTTTGATGGTGACTTTTACATTGATCCTTAGTTAGACAAAAGTAAATGGTGTTTCTTAGAATCTCTTGCTAATATTCCTTGATCTTTGACTATAAGAAGGTTGTTCTACCTAGTCACAATAAACTTTGTGAAAATCAAAGTAGGATAACTGAATTTATTTGATAGCACTTACATGTAAAGAATTTAGAATTGGGATTCTTCTCTGGATTGTCTGGTTGAAGTAATATGGGTTGCTCAGAAGTTTTGATTTTGTTATGATGGATACTATTTGAATAGTTAATATATAAATATCAGTTGAGGATGGAGGAATGGGAGAAAATTCAAATACTGAGATGTGTGCACATATACTTGTGTTTGTGCATGTATACATGATTTTACTTGCTTCATTCTTACTAGTTCTGGAAAGAATTTTGTCTTGGGAATATCAAACTATAAAGATAAAAAAATGAAATTAAGAAGCATTTCTCAAACATAAAGAACAGAATGTGGGCTGGGCTTGCCATAGCTCACGCTTATAATTCCAGCACAAGGAGGGAGGATTGCTTGAGCCCAGGAGTTTGAGACCAGTCTGGGCAACATAGGGAGACCACCATCTCTACAAAAAAAAAAAAAAAAAAAAAACATTAGCGGGGCATGAGCTTGCACTTATAACTCCAACTACTCTGGAGGCTGAGGTGGGAGGATCCCTTGAGTCCAGGAGGTTGAGGCTGCAGTGATCCACGATTGTGCCACTGCACTCCAGCCTGGGTGACAGAGTGAGAAACTGCCTCAAAGGAAAAAAAAAATGCTTTGGTTTGGGTTCTAAAGCATATTTTCTATTTTCATTATTTAAAAATTATGTATGAAATATGATTGTCTTTGAAGTTTACATTAAACCCTAGACTTAATATAATGCAAACAAACAATGCTGAGCCTCAAAATATTTCTATCCATTTTTCCTATTTTCTTTCTTTTGAGATGGGAGTTTTGCTCTGCTGCCCAGGCTGGAGTGCAGTGGTGCGATCTTGGCTCACTGCAACCTCTGCCTCCAGGGTTCAAGCAATTCTCATGCCTAAGCCTCCCAAGCAGCTGGGATTATAGGCAAGCACCACCATGCTTTGCTAATTTTTGTATTTTTAGTAGAGATGGGGTTTCACCATGTTGGCCAGGCTGGTCTCAAACTCCTGACATCCAGTGATCCACCCCGCTCAGCCTTCCAAAGTGTGGGATTACAAGTGTGAGCCACCATGCCCGCCTATTCTTTTGCTTGTTAGTTAATTTTTGTTCAGCAACCTCTGTCATAACACATTCAATTCTTTTGACTCAAATCATTATTTTTATGGCATGGCGAACTCAGTGTATGTATGTAAATAGATACACTGGATCTAAAACATAATTTTAATTATTTCCTTCTGATAGGAGCTTATAATTATCATGTACATTTTTTTCTCATAAAAGAAACCAATGTCTTTTAGTTGCTATGATTACTGTTTGAATTTACCTTTTCAGATTTAAAAAGAATGTAGGAGGGACATTAAACCTAAACATTTAAAACAGCAATATTATATTGAGAAGAAAGTTTGCAATATTCTTATGTTGGGACTTCATTTACAGGCATTAGAAAAAGAACAGAGAGAAAGAATCCCCAGAGCAGATGAATTAAATCAAACGGGACAAATCCTTGTGGAGCAAATGGGAAAAGGTAAAATCCTTGATTTTTTTTTTTCCCCTTATTTTTCAGATGGTGGCATCGAATAATATTACAGTTTGCCCTATTAAATATTTTGCTTTAAGATTCTAATCCTCTTTTGGCTAGATAAATGTTTTCAAAAATGTTTTTAGGCAGCAGAATCTTTTAAAAAATGAAATTTTATTCTGAAGCTGATTGTAAAAAAACAGATAAAAGCAAAGTTTTTCTGATTTTGTATGGGATCGGGGCTGGACACCCTGATACCTTAGCAGAACAGTTAAAACCCACTAGCATAGTAGATTTTAAAATTGTATCCTTTGGGTTTATATATTGGGAATTTGTTTTGCAGGGGTGTAGCAAAAGCAAACTTTATTTGGCAACGTTTGGGAAATGAAGTTATATTAAATTCATCAGGAGTTTTTGATTTTTGGTAATGTTTAATGCATTATATTTACTATATTTATTTACTACAGTATTTTTATAGTTAAGTTTGATAAGGTGTTACTTGTATATGAAATTTTTAACTGTGTCCAAGGCTTTTTTTTTTTTTTTTTGGCTGTAGCTCCCAATGACTTAGAATAAGCTAAAAATTAATATTCTTGCTGTGCAGTTTTGCATGTGAATCTCTCTTTGTTCTAGAGTAATGTTGAAAGACATTTCTTGCATTCCACGTACCTTGGTCTAATAATAGTTAGCACTTTGGAAGGCTGCTGCATCTCTCCTTGACACTCGTACAGATATCTGTATAGAATTAGGAATATTAGTTTGACAAGAGTCTTCAAAGCAGTAGCATTTAATTTTTTATTGTTTGACTTTTTGTTATGGAAAATATAACTACATAAAAGCAAATAGAATACTATAATGAACTTTCTTGTATCAGTTACCTAGTTCAATAATTGACAATTCTGCCGTTCTTGAATTATCTATACCTTTACTCGTTCCTCAGCCTCTCAAGTATTACTGTTTTTACAGTTTTCTTGGAAATAAATTTACTTACATTGAAATACATGACTTAGTTGTGCTGTTTTGATAAATAGATATACCTGTGTAACCTACACACACACATCACTATGTAGAAAATGTCGACCTTTCCAGAAAGTTCTCTTTCGGGTTAGTCACCTTCCTCCCTCCAGAAAACAACTGTTGTTGTTGTTTTGACCTTAGATTATTTTGCTGCCAGCCTTTAACAAATATGTTTATTTATTTAGTAGGTATACTGGATGTGTATATACACACACCCACAAACATATATACAAACACAAACATATATAGATACATACACATACACATAAAATACGGAATGTAAGCCATGTGGACAGTGTATGTCCATTTATTTTGAAATTATGCAAATGTATTGTCAATCCATATATTATTAATAAAGGTTAATTTCTTCCTTAAATAAATTAAATAGATTAGTATTTAATACTTTCTTTCAAAATCCATTCTAGCAAACTGTCTTAGTTGTCCTGCCTGTGGGCATCCCACTTGGAGGTTTCTCTTTCCAGTATTTACTTAAAGAGATCCAGAGACACAAACAGATGATAACTTCCCTTGAGATGCTGGTTCATTCAATAATGATAATGCATTGGATGTTGAATTTATTTCCTTTACAAGCATAGATTTTTTTACTTCTACCTCAGCAAGTGACTCTGACTTTATCTGATGTGAATATAGGATAACTTCTTTAATCTGTGCACTGAATTTACTCCCATTTCTGTCAGGTTTTCAGCAGTGTGGCAGAATTATGAAGATGGGGGAGACTTGATGTAGATGAGAAGTTGGTGCAAGGTGATGTTACAGTGAGAATAACAGTGATTGGGGGAATGGACGAACTTGTATTGTCCTGTCCTTTTCTAGTTTCTTATCCTTGGGAAAGTCTTGGAACCCTTGCGTTTCTTGCCTTGGTGTCTGGAAAGTGAGGGAGTTTATTAGCTGACTCTTAGCTATTAGTTTATCCGCTGACTATTAGTTTATTAGCTGACTATAGGCTTTGGTCCATAAAATTTTACCATAAACGGGTCCTAAACAGACACATTCTGGACATTGAATTCACATGAAAGTGCTACTTGCAAAAGGCCAAAGGCAACACTGGAGAATAGATGACATGGGGCTTTTGTCACCTAATATATACTTGTACAATTTCATAGGAAACATTTTATATTTTGTATTATCAATTGTTTTTCAAGCATTGGTGGAATTAGAAATACATTCCTTAGAGGACCCTAATTCTTTTTTGTTTTAAAGATGCATCTGTTTAAAAAAATGTTTTTAGGACAACAGTAGGAAGCTGAGAAATGGGGGAGCTGAACTGAATAAACTCTGTATGTTCCAGTTCAGTTGGGGAGGCATGTCAAATTCTTCAGTAGAACCCATGTTTGAATAATCATGTCACTGTTTTTCTGAAACCAGTTCCATCAAACAGCCCACCATAGCCAATTCTGATAGGTCTTTCCTGCCTAATGCATTTTAGGTAAGTTTTGAGATATGTCATCGAGCATAAAAATGTTTTTAGAAAATAAAATAGCGTGAGGCTGGGCGCAGTGGCTCATGCCTGTAATCCCAGCACTTTGGGAGGCTGAGGTGGGTGGATCATGTGGTCAGGAGATCAACACCATCCTGGCCAACATGGTGAAACCCCGTCCCTACTAAAAATACAAAAATTAGCTGGGCATGGTGGTGCGTGCCTGTGATCTCAGCTACTCAGGAGGCTGAGGCAGGAGAATCGCTTGAACCAGGGAGTTGGAGGTTGCAGTGAGCTGAGATCGCACCACTACACTCCATTCCGGTGACAGAGCAAGACTCTGTCTCAAAAATAAATAAATAAGTAAATAACAATAAATAAATAAATACAAATAATTAAAATAAAATAATGTGTTTCATTTGACTTTCACAGCTGATATACTTGGTTTTCTTTGTTTAGCTTATCTTGTTCCTAGAGAGTCTCATCTCATAAAATACAGTAGTTGGACATCTAGATAACATGGCTTTATGAGTTGATACCCATTGTGGTTGCCTAAGCATATAAGCCCATGAAGTTTGGTGAAGGTTCTATGTTTTGTAAACATTTCCCTTGATTCCAATAGTGATAGACTGAGAAGTGTAAAGTCAAGTGAGACTAAGTGGCAGGAATGTGTTCTATTTTCTCTCTTTTAGATAATTAATAAAGTGATATGCTGTTGATTTTGCCTTTTGACTAGTCATTGTCTAAGAACTCTGTGTTTTATAGAAATAGAAAATTTTAAACTCTGGATCGCTGGGAGTAAAACAACTATTTTTAAAGACAATGGCAGTTTTCCTTTTATAAGATGTAAATTGTGTTTGAATCATTACTGGATATCACTGTAACCAGCAATATCTCAGGATTAGAGAAGGGGAGATTCAGATGTTTAAAATCAGTTTAAAGAGGCAAAATGAATGGCTTATAAGACATTGTCAGTGAAAAAATACCTGAAGTTGTTTTAACTGCCCTTGTTCTTGAAGTGAGCACCGCTTTCCAGTTTTCTAGATGAGTAGTGATAATTTTCCATCTCAGAAATTTTTTTTACCTACTTAATTTGCTTCCTGGATTAGTATAAATTGTCCAACCTAAAGATGATGTGCCTGGTGTTACTATTCCTTTGCCTAACTAGGATAGAAATGACAGGGTAAAGGCACAGCCCATATCTCCATTGTTCAGATTGTTAGGAAAATGGTGATTTATTTTGTATACTCTCCCCATTAACAGGGATAATGCAGCATGGCTTGTGGTGTGAATGCTTTGTTTATGTCTCATATTCTCTTACCTGAGAGATGGTGGTGAACAGTGAGCTTCTGCAATTGACATAGGTGACACATTCAAATTACAGCATGATATGCCCTCATTTATAATTTTTAGTGGGCACAGTGTATTATAAAATTTTCAAAGTTTCATTGTCTGTGGATCATACATGACTTTTTGTTTTTATGCCTTTTTTTTTTTTTAGTTCAAGCTCTCATTATCCTGGGTTTTGATTATATATGTTTATAAAGCAGGATTGTTTATTGCCTTCCTACTCAGTAAAAATGTGAAGCCATCCTTTCAGTACGCATGTTCTCCTCTTAATAGAAAGATTCCTTTGAAGGTTTCCCAGACTTTTTCATAGTTATTTTAGAGGATTTGAAGGTATTTTAGATTAAGGGAAGGACTATGATAAAATCTATTATAATATATAACTTTATTATTTTTAGGAATATTCTCTAATTTTAAAAAATGTCGGACAAATAAAATGATAAGATTTCAGTAATAAAAGTGGTGGCATTGTTTTCCCTGATGTGTTTCTAAAGTAGATCATCTTATTGCTGCCTCAGTCTTTTGGTATTTGCTTATTTGTGTGCAAGGTCTCCAATGGGCTTGTGATGCTTCTAGAGCCTGGCTGCTGGCTTAATATTCCTGCACTCACCAGGTTGCTTCCCAGCATAAGGCATTCTCGCCATTCATTTCTTAATTTATATGACACTATGCTTTGGTCACCAAGACTTGAACTGCCTCCTAGTTTTTCTAGCCAGCTGTTGTTTTTTCTTAGGACAAAGGGTCTTCTTTCTGAAGTCAGAGGCCTAGACAGATCAAGGTAGTTGATCTTATTTCAGTGGCTCAGGTGATAAACTAGCAGAGTGGAAGCATGGCATGGATGGAAACATATATTACCTAGAAAAGGCAGTGACTGAAGTTCTACTGATGTGCCCTTTGCAATAGCTGCACTGCTCCTGAATCGTTATTTTAAAATGTCTTCCTTCTTTGGTCAAGGAATTGAAATAAGTGTAATTATTTTTAAGTGCATCATTATACATTTTTGTTGTTGTATTAAAAGGGACTTAAGAAAGTGATCATTATATGTGATATTGCCTCACTATTCTGAATGTTAGAATGTTTAGAATAAATTCAAGACACATTTTGTAATATATAGACTGTTTGCTTGTTTTTCATGACTGCATAGAAGGCCTTCCTACTGAAGAGATAAAAAATGTTCTGGAGAAGGTTTTATCAGAATGGAAGAATGTATCTCAACATTTGGAAGATCTGGAAAGAAAAATTCAGCTACAGGAAGATATAAATGCTTATTTCAAGCAGCTCGATGAGCTTGAAAAGGTCATCAAGACAAAGGAGGAGTGGGTAAAACACACTTCCGTTTCTGAATCTTCCTGGCAGTCCTTGCCAAGCTTGAAGGATTCCTGTCAGGTAAGGGGCCAACTGTCTGGAACATGGAGTAATTCTGTGTGCAGTCCCAGAGTTAAGGAGGGCTTCTTGTATCATGAACTTCAAGTTAATGCTGCCCTGATTAACTTCCTGTGAGGATGTTCATCTTCAGTGAGTTATGTGACCATATTTTCTCTTCCTTAGCGGGAATTGACAAATCTGCTTGGCCTCCACCCCAAAATTGAAATGGCGCGTGCAAGCTGCTCGGCCCTGAAGTCTCAGCCTTCTGCCCCAGATTTTGTCCAGCGGGGCTTCGATAGCTTTCTGGGCCGCTACCAAGCTGTACAACAGGCTTTAAAGGATCGTCAACAACAGCTAGAGAATGGTAAACCCAACGATTTTAATATCTCCTTTCTCAGTGTGCCTTAATTTAAACATGACTCCCGACATTTAGAACTTGAGTACGCTTGCTTGCTTTGCACCAACCTTCTCCATTTTCCGTTGTGCCTGTATTGTTCAAAGTCTTAAAGTCTCCTATATTCAGATTCTTTTCCAGATTCATACCTTTTTGTAAATATATAGACAAGTTTCATGTGCTCTAAAATTGTGTCAGTAGGATACACTCCGTCATCCAGGCTGGAGTACAGTGGTGCAATCATAGCTGCAGTCTTGACCTCCTGAGCTTCAGTGGTCCTTCTGCCTCAGCCTACTGAGTAGCTGGGACTACAGGCATGCACCACCATGCCTGGCTGGTTTTTTATTTTTAGTAGAGCCAGGGTCTAGCTATGTTGCTCATGCTGGTCTAGAACTCCTGGGCTCAAGTGATCTTCCCACCTCAGCCTCCCAAAATAACAGGTGTTAGCCAAATTAACAGGTGTTAGCCTCCCAAAATAACAGGGATAGCACGTGTCAGTCAGCCATTGTACCTGACCTGGATGTAATGATTTGTAAATAGATTTTTTTTTTTTTTTAAAGAAACAGGTGCAATTTCTTCCTTTGGCTGAGGAGGCCACTTAATATCATTGCTAGGAGGATTAAAATGAATGATTCCTTACTTCTGTTTCCTCAAAATAGTTAAAGTTTTAGCAGTCCCATAGTCTCTTTTAAAAGAAATCATATTCCACTATCAAATTCAGAAAAATTTTAGAGTTCTTACTTTTGGAATACACTTGGTTTTGGAAGGTTCACTATTAAAGGATTTGAAAGCTCTTTCCTCTTACGTTACACTGTTTACTTCCTAGCTGCCATTTGAGTTAGGAACTGTGTTGCATTGTGCATTATTATTTTGGGTAGTGCACCCTGAAAAGCTCCACATGTAACCCAGCCTAACTTCAGCAATTGTAGATTGTGTGATGACTGGAAGTACCTGTATGTGTACATGCTAGGCAAATGTGTTGTGTTGCCTTTCTTCTGAAAGTGCGTCAGGACAGTGTGTCTTTGTTCCTTGAATTCAGTTATGTGAAGTAAATCTTTTGAGGGTACCTCTTTCTCCACTTATTGGTACAAACTATGCTTTCACTTTTGACAAGTAGGCAGTTTAACTTTTGCTGCTAGTTGATTTCACCTCTTTGTGCTTCAAGAGAACTCACTTTCTTTCCACACAAGTGTTACTTCTACGAGATTTTTACGTTACTGACTCAGGTAGGCACTGTTCCAGCTGGCTGTTTAGTCATTATTTCTCAGGGTACCTGGGCAGCATGGTGGCAGTATTTCCATATAATCTCCTCCACTCCATAGATGGGTTTGTCTACATGGTGGAGGTTAACAGCAAGACTGGTTGACGGGATCTTTGCTTTCTTTTATTCTTTGTGTAGCTGTTAAGGAAGAGGAGATTATATGGGACAAAAGGGACATTGTTGTTCCATCTTCAGAGAGACATTTCATCATAAAGAAATGAAGAAAAATTATAGTGGGTTAGTTAATATTTCAAATGTCAACATCCGCAGGAATGAAGTCACTGTCTGACTCTCAGAAATGCCAATGGAATGATCTATGTTATTAACAGAGATCCTTTTACATTTTAATCATGGGGTCTCCTTTGCCATGTATTGGACTTCATTTAGGATAATGGTCTATGTAATAATATTGGGTTCCTAACATGATTTTCTCAAATTAAATATTTTTAAATCAACAGAACTGAAGGGCCAACCTGGACATGCATATCTGGAAACATTGAAAACACTGAAAGTTGTGCTAAATGATTCAGAAAATAAGGCCCAGGCATCTCTGAGTGTCCTTAATGATCCTGCCAAGGTGGAGAAGGCCCTGCAAGAAAAAAAGGTAACATATATTTTCCATGTTAGAACTCTAGTGCTTCTTCTAATATCTCCTCTTACATATTTTGAAATGTTTTTTCAGAGATTAAAAACAATTGGTCAGTTTTGTTCATCATTGGTCCAAAAATTTATGTATGATTTGAGGGTTAGTTTGACCTCACATAAAAGAAAATACAGTTGTTAAATATTTTTTCATAGAAGAAAAGCATATTTTCTCCTTCTGCTGTGATTAGCTTAAAGTTCTCAACCTGTTCATAATCTACTAAGCTATCTTTAATGAAATGAGGACTATCAGTCAATGTGTTGATGTATACTTTTTTCTGCATCGAATAGGAATATTCCCCTGGTCATTTAGTTGAGCAGCTTTATGGCTCTGCACTATTTTATCAGATGAAAAGGAGAGCAGCCATTGAGCACTGCACACTTGGCCCACACTTGCTGTGCCATTCCCTTGGTGTTTAGTGTTGAGAATACATTGTATTGCTCACACACAACTCATGAAGAAAAAGCTTTAATTTTTATGATTATGCCTATTTTTTTTATGAGTTGTTCATGTTTTGTTTTGTTTTTTGATTTCCAACTTTTATTTTAAGTTCAAGGGTACTTGTGCAGGATGTGAAGATTTGTTACATGGGTAAACGTGTTGTCACGTTAGTTTGCTGCACTCCGTATCACGCCCAGGATCTATTAGCTCTTCTTCCTGATGCTTTCCCTCCTACCATACCCCACCCTCCAACAGACCCCAGTGTGTATTGTTCCCCACCATGTGTCCATGTGCACTCATCATTCAGCTCCCACTTATAAGTGAGAATATGCAGTATTTGTTTTTTTTTTTGTTTGCTTGTTTCTGCATTAGTTTGCTGAGGATAATGGCTTCCAGCTCTATCCATATCCCTGCAAAAGACATGATCTTTTTCCTTTTTATGGCTACATAGTATTCCATGGTATATATGTACCATATTTTCTTTAACTAGTCTATCATTGATGGGCATTTGGGTTGATTCCTTGTCTTTGCTATTGTGAATTGTGCTGCAATGAACATAGTGTGCATGTATCTTTATAAAAGAATGATTTGTATTCCTTTGGATATATACCCAGTAAGATTGCTGGGTCATATGGTATTTCTGGTTTGGGTTCTAGGTCTTTGAGGAATCACCACACTGTCTTCCACAATGGTTGAACTAATTTACACTCCCACCCACTGTTCTTTTTAGATAAAAATTCTTTCTAATGCATTTTAAAGTGACTTTTGACTTTATATAGCCCATTTTACTATTATCTGTGCAGACACATTGTTGTGCATATTTTTAATATTTTAAAACATTTTCCAGGCCCTTGATGAAATCCTTGAGAATCAGAAACCTACATTACATAAACTTGCAGAAGAAACAAAGGCTCTGGAGAAAAATGTTCATCCTGATGTAGAAAAATTATATAAACAAGAATTTGATGATGTGCAAGGAAAGTGGAACAAGCTAAAGGTCTTGGTTTCCAAAGATCTGCATTTGCTTGAAGAAATTATTCTCAAACTCAGAGCTTTTGAGGTAAATCCAGAGGCCACTGGGAGTTTAAGTTTATTACAGAGTAAATAGTAATTATCTTGTAAGATTCACATATTTATTATTTGAATATTTTACATTCTTTCTAGACCCACATTTATTATGTATTTAAGTTGGGACTTAATCAAAGATGTACTTTTAATGTGCTGGAGAGCACATTTATTTCCTTTTGCCTGGAAGCAAAGTCAAAAGTAGAGTAAACTGGACCTTGAAGATAAGAGAAAATAGCTTAAAAATGGTCAGAATAATGTTTCAGGCATGGAGGGTCTGTGTGAAATACAGACTGTTGATTAGATTATAGTTGTAACTTGGTTGGGGTGGTAGAAATAGCCCAAGTAGTAGTAAATTGCTGAGTGCTTGAAACTACTTTTTGCAGGTTTTTGACATTTGAAGTCAAAAGTCAGAGAGAGTGGGAAGGCAGATAGTTCCAGGGACATGAAAATGCAATAGCAGGATCCTTCACTACACCTGAAAATATTGACAGAAGCAGCAGTGATAAAGTTTAAGAGGAAGGGATAAATGTGAGGACATATAAGGAGAGAGTCAATGTCAATAGAAGTCAGTGTCAGATAGGACAGGTTGGATTTTAACATTCTGCCCATAAGAAAAATGGAGAAGCAGAGTTTCCAGTTCACCTGGTATTTTAATAGGAAAGTTCTGGGTGGAGAATGAACCAATCACACTCTCTCCCTGCAAGGCTTCCTATCCTCCCAGTGACTCCTTACCTTGGTTTTTTTTTTTTTTTTTTCCCCCATCAGTCAGGGATCTTTGTCTTTTTGAAATTTCTTATTCACTGATGTATACCAAGATGTACTCTTAATGAGAGCAATGCCTGGCACAGAGAAGGCATCCAATCAATATTTTTCAATGAATGAAATGAAATTAGCAATAGGAGATTTAGATTTAGTTATATCTCTATATATCTATATACTGAGAGAGAGAGATTCCCTTGGAAGCTAAATCCAAATATGTGTAGCTATATCTCTCTCTATATAAATCCAAATATAGAGCTATATCTCTCTTTCTGTATATAGACATATATGTATGTATGTATACGTATATGTATGTATGTATATGTCTATATAGATGTATATGTATGTGTGTGTATATGTATATACGTCTATATATAGAGAGAATCTAGATCCAAATCTATATATATTTAGATGTAGATCCAAATATACAACATATATATCTACATATATTTGGATCTACATGTAAATATATATAGATTTGGATTTAGATGCTAAGCAAATTTGCAGAAGGAATGTTGCCCCCAAAAAAGTGCAAAGATTGAAAGTGAAGACAAAATTAATGAAAATGTATGTTTTGAAAATCAAAGTCAGAGAACACGTGGTAGAAGAGGAGCTGGAAGACCTCACAGATTAGTGTGGAAGGGATCCAGCCAGATTCCCTGAGTGGTCACCACTGAATTTGGAGGAGCGTTCTTTGACTTAGGAACTAATGGGTAGTTCCAGTGAATGATCAGCAGAAGACACAGATGGAGGGGTTGTGTGTATGTGTGGGTAGCTGTGTGTGATTGTAGTGACAGGAGGTAGTTTTTCTCTAGGTGTAACCTGCAGTTCTTGATGGAGATCTCATTCGAATAAACCAGTAATTAGGGAGAGAAATGTGTTTTGTGTGGCTTAGTATTTTTGACTCATTTACTTATTCATGTATGTATGTATGTATGTATCTTTTTTTAAGATGGAATTTTACTCTGTTGCCCCACGCTGGAGTGCCATGGTGCGATCTTGGCTCACTACAACCTCAGCCTCCCGGGTTCAAGCAATTCTCCTGCCTCAGCCTCCCGAGTAACTGAGACTACAGGCACATGCCACTATGCCTGGCTAAAGTTTTATTTTTAGTAGAGACGGGGTTTCACCATGTTGGCAAGGCTGGTCTCAAACTCCTGACCTCAGGCGATCTGCCCTCCTCAGCCTCCCAAAATGCTGGGATTACAGACATGAGCCACCGCGCCTGGCCCATTATGCTTTGTGATGGTCTCACTTCTCATCGTGTATTATCAGTTGTAATTGTTTCCAGCTTTCAAAATGAGCATTGACCTTTTCTATAATTCTAAAGTTTTTGGTTATGGTCCCAGCATTGGATTATCAGTGATTCTCAACTGGGGTGATTTTACCCTCCAGAGGATACTTGTAAATTTCTGGAGACATTTCTGCTGTTGGAACTCTGGGAAAAGGCTTCCAGTAGGTAGAGGCCAGGGATGCAGCTAAACATCCCACCATGCACAGGACAGCCTCCCACCAAAATAATCATCTGGTCCCAAATGTCAGTAGTGCCAACGTTTAGCAATGCCGCTTAAACATTTCCCATCTTTTCAAAAGATCATCCCTTTGTTTTCAGATTTAAGTCCCAAGTGTAAATGGAGATTAACCTCAGGGTTAGTCGTCTTCTGCCTCTTAAAAGTGTATCTTAGGGTTAGCTAAATGTATGCTAATATTTCAATATTGACCTTAATGAGAATAAATATTCTCCCAAAACACAAAAGAGTCCTGTGGTTATAGTAATCCAGCTTTAGGCTTTGGTAGGTTGTTGCTATTAATGTAGCAAATCCAGGCATGAAAAGTGGTCACTTGGAGTGTGTGCTAAATATTTATTTCCATTAAAAATATCCAACATAAACTATATGCGTCTGGATATTTAAGTGTTTGTTGTTACAGTAGCAGATTAAATGTCCAGTTATTTTTTTATTTGCTTCTTGTGTACTAACTGCAAGATTGTGGTTAAGGAATACAGTGTCTGTATCTCTTAATTGTATAACTCTTTCATTGAAATACAAGTTTTATTTTAAATTCATAAGAAAACTCCTTTTTTTGCTTTACAGGAATTGCTGGTTACTTAACTACTCATGATTTACTTGGGAAAACTTTAAGCTCCAGCCCTCAAATTATTAGATAATTATAATAAATATTTATTTGCTGATTATCGTTGTTTTCCCTTTTTCAATGACCTGATAGATAATTTTTTAGGCATTTAATTATTTTTGTCTTTAAGGCATGAAGCACAGTAGGTTTTAGATTCAATGCCAATTCATAATAATGCTTCATAGGAATAAAATAGTTGACTTGTTTATTTTTAAAATGCATTTTTCATTATATGAGTAGCATTTGAAGCCTACACATTGGGAAGAAATTGAATAACACAGAAATTCTTACAGCGAACATTTAGAGTTCCTATTCTTCCCCAATACCATTTTCTTTCCTGGGGGCAGCTAATATTAACAGTGGATCCTTGTACATTGAAATTGGACAAGAAAAATGGACAAATATTGGTAATTCTTATAATTTTTCCCCACACTATGGAAACAAATGATATTGGAACTCTGTGAGGTACATTTAAATCTATATTCCAGATAGAGTTCGGAAGTGAATCCCACTACTTAATAACATCTTTCATTGATACAGCACATTTAAACTTTGAAGGTGTTTTCGTGGCTATGTGCTTGCTTTTTTCTGCTATCCTTCAATGTTTGTAAGTGGCTGTTAGTTGTGTCCAAATTTTAGTTTTCTGTTATTTGTTGGCATCATAATGTTTTTCCTCTGTTGCCTTCATTTCCTTTGTCTCCATGGCTGGTTCCTTTTGTGTATGTAGCGATTGGACCTACATATTCTTACTCATTGTGTCATGCCCAAATACATTCTTAAATTATTTTTATTTGTGCCATGCCAAAGCAATAACCTCCATTCCGGTACTTACGAGGTAAAATATTCATTGTTACTTTTATAAACTACTGTACCCCTTCCAGGTGACAAAACATTTGAAAATACATGAAATGGGTATTTCTTTTTTCCATTATTGATTTTACTGACTGGATTTTCCTGTGAATCATAGGGATAAAATATTATAAAATCCTAAGAGGCTGCTTATAGATCTCTCCTCACCAGCAGTAATATCTTTGGAATTAGGGGCTGCAAGGTATTTCATATTACGTATTTCCTTTTCCTTATTCAAGAGCTTCTGTCGTGTGTATAACTGGGAAATCATGAAAGATGCCCCCAAGGCACACACCAAACTGTCTTCTATTTTCCAGCGCTCCTGTCTTTTCAGGCTCCTCCTCCAGCCCCTTCCGTCTGGGTTCAGGCTATCGTGCAATCTCTTGCCCTGACAATTTCATTACCCTTTAAATCCGACCCCCACTTCCTGTCTCTTCTCTCTAGAATTCATCTTTCACACCAATACAAGAGGTGTACTTCTGAAAGGATCTGGTTGTCTTCACTATTAATACAAGTTAATACAAAGTGCCATTAATACAAAATGTCCCTTTCTTGCCCTGAAGCCCTCCCTGCATCTCCACTGTGAGCTGAATCAGGTGGGGAGAATACGGTGGGTCACCAAAGACCACCCTAGACTATAGCCTTTCTCTGGAAATGTCACATACTTGCTAGGAATTCACATCCTCCTCCTCCTCTCTGCTCATCTGTCTTCAGCCTAGCTCATCACTACACCCACAGCTAGATAATCATTCCCTCCTCTGTGATTCAACTGCGTGTCATTTACACCTTCACGACCCATCTCAGGCCGTCTTTTATTATGGTGAGAAGTGTGTGTCTCTCCTCCCACGAGGCATGAGCTCTTTGAGGGTTGGCTCCCCGTCAGGCATAGAGCAAGTTAGCAGATGTGAACGTAATTGATGTGTCGGGCCTCTCTAGTGAGAGTGGATTGATACAGTCTAAATGCCTGGTTATCCTAAGTGGCAGGACATCTGTGTAGTCATGCCTCTTCCTTCGATTGTTGAACAGTCTAAGGCACACATGAATGGACTTGCTCTGACCCGGAATCTGGAAGCGGGGGTGCTGGAGCTCCAACAGGCAGAACCAGGTTTTAAAAGTACTTTGGAAAGCATTTTAGGGTAAAAATGCAATACTTTCTAAGAGTAATATTAGTACAGATGATTTAACCCTGTTTAGGTAATATATAATTGATTTCTCATAAGGGGTTTTTTTTTTTTTTTTCTCATTTGTAAA